TCCATTTATATTAAGAGACGCGGTTTGTAGTTTGCAATTGTTATATCTTAATATCTTATATATTTTGAAAATTCAACGCTATTTGAATATTATATTTATCATACAATATTATAACTTTCCTTTAATATTATATTATCGAGGATCTAATTGTATAATATTAGAAGTTAAATTACATAATTATAAAATACTTTCTATAGAAAATAATTTAAAATAAAGTTACCATTGTTTTGACTATAAAAGCCATTAATTATGTTCTTCATTTCAGTCTTATTTTATTTAAGAGCACTGGAATGTTTAAAAGGGATATTTTAAGATTTATTTTATTATGGTTTTTTTTTTTTTATTTCACATAACACCTAATTAAAAATATTATAATTTATAAATTATAATTATATAATTAAAAATAAAATTCTATAATTGAATCCCCAAAAAGGAACCATAATTGTGTCTAAAAATTTCTATTAGAATTTTTTGTCGAATAAAAAGGAATTCTCTTGGTTCATTTGTGAAAAGTCGTATTTTATTAGCAAGATTTTTTAAAAACAAAAATGTTGAAGGCGAAAAATGCCCGTTAGTAGAAGTCACAACTGGAGTGAATAAAAAGTTTTTAAAATTTTTGTATTTGTTAATCTTTTTAATTTTAGCCTGTGTTATTAAATTGAAATTTATGTTTGAAGGGAATGATGAAACACACGTGTAGTCCCATATGAGTGATTTGCCGAGGCCCCAAGGTATGGTTGTCATACCATCAGGTCTTTAAACCATCTACTTGAGATAAATTTGATGGTTCGAGATTGTTAGGAATGTGTGCAGCTGTTAAGCTTCTATTTATTATATGGTTTACAGCTGAGTGGCGTTGATGTCGCCCTTGACTAAAAATGCAATTTAAGCCATGTCTACCCTTTGAATCAACGGGTGATTTGCATTTGACGCAGGCATGAGGCTGAATTCCTTTTTATTCGACAAAAAATTCAAATAGAAATTTTTAGACACAATTATGGTTCCTTTTTGGGGACTCAATTATAGAATTTTATTTTTAATTATATAATTATCATTTATTATGGTTGGAAAGAAAAATTAAAAAGCAGACGATTTTATGATTCGCTGGAATATGCAGATTTCTAAATTTTTTAGGTAAACAATTATATTCTCCCAATTTATAACCTTAAACATTTTTTTTTAATGAATATTAATATTGCATTTATTTTCATTTTATCTTTTATATTATAATGATTATTTTATTAAATAACTCTATTCTCTACTTTGGAAAATACAGAATCTTCCAGAATCTAGGCTAGGAAAGCAATATTTATTTATACAGCTCAAATTTCATTTTTCAATTTAAAAATTTAACAAAAATATATCCATAAGAGGGCGATAAATGCATAAATATAAAAATATAATTTTAGACACCCCGAATAATTATTGTTGGCAATTTGGGTGTAAATACGTGCTGATAACTTAAAAATTAAAAAAAAAATGATTAATTATGATTAGTTTAGAATGGAAAAATAATAGAAAACTTCTAAAGCACATATTGCTGACGTTGATCAAATTCTCTTCATTTTTGTTTCCAATGCTTATATTTACATATATAACATTGTCCTTAAAATATTTTAATTTGACCGATTTCCGAACTCAAAACCGACCACTTACTTAATCATTATTCCAAAAAATATTTAAAATATATTGTGATTTGGATAACCGATTTGAAACCGACTTAATGATTAAATACTGCATTGCTGGCGTTGTCCATGGAAATCTTCCTTCTTGTTTTATACGCGGTATAATAATAAAAAAATTTTGATTTGTTGCCGAACAAGTACATGCTAGCTAATAAAATACCGATTTAAAAAAATACTTATTGGTTACTTCGAGCTGATCAGTGCCCTAGATGCCTTTTAAATTTTATCGAATGTAGTTTGTATGGTGTCTTATAAAAAATCTAATATATAACCAAATCCTAATCTTTGTAGGATAGCATCTTGTGTCAATTTACTGCTATTACAATCCACATACTTGTTTTATGATATAAAAATCAAGCTAGGATAAACATATGTTATATTTAGCTTGCTGCAATAATTATTAAGAAAATCTCGTGTAATTAGAAGTAAGTTTAACCCAGATTTTATTAGGCCATGATTGAATTTGAATCAAAATTATATGCTTGTTGCAATACTAAAAAAGAAATCTTAAGTACCTTAATAAAGATAACTTAAATAAGTTTTTGGTTTCAAAAGTGTAGTTCAGTAAAATTAAATTTGTATGCAGCCCAGCAATATATATGGCTTTATATCATAATTAAATTTAAAAAGAATATATAAATGTTCCCTAAATTTGAACTCTTAAGAATAATAATTATTATTCTTCTTAAAAAAATATCATATAAATATTCAAAATTACACAAATTGTAGAAAATTTCCAAGTAATTTGCTAATCCATATTCCTGAAATCTCAATAATCATTAATATTTCAGTTTAAAATAATAATAAATATTCCTGTCCAAGTTTTGTTGTTTGGTTTAATTTAACAAATCATATTTTTTTATATTTAAATGCCAATCAACAAATATATTTATTGTTGATTGGTAGAAAAAAAAATAATGATATGAATAATATTTTTTTTACTAATTGTTGTAGAAAGATCGAAAAAATGAATTACTTTTCACTTTTATATTTTTTTCTAATTTGGATGACTTTTTTATTTATTTTTATGATTTTTTTAATGAACTCGGAATTATTATAATTGGAAAATAAAATATGTGTTTATCTTGAATTAATGTTGAAATTATAATTAATAAGTATTAAAGAATTTAAGACGTTAGCTAGTAAGAAAAGTGAGATTTATAAATTGCTTTGACATTGTTGTTGAACTTGAACAACGTAAAATAAAAAAATTTTTTATAATATGTGATAAATAAAAATTATTTTGTTATAAATTTTTATAAAATAGGTTTGGTCTTATATATCATTTATACAAACTGCCTCTCCTTTTCAAGTAATTTAAATTTATATAATTCAACTAGATCCCAAAGAATGCGAACATGAAAATTCCATAGTTTTGAAAATAAAATAAATAATTATTTGTCTTAATTTTGTATCAATTGTCAGTCTGATGGTCCATGCCACCAAATAACACCATATAACAAAACCGTTATCCAGACAGATTGGGATCAATATTAATTTAAATAACTTGGAAAGGAGAGGGAGTTTGTATAATATAATGATATATGAGACCAAACTTATTTTATAAAAATTTATAAACTGATAATTTAATTTTAAAAAAAAATTTGGGACAAAATTTTTATTTATCACATATTAAATATTTTTTTTAATTGACATTGTTCATCAATCAAAGAGTAAAGTATTGATATTCTTTTATTTTAAATGGTCCAATATCAATGTTAAATGATAAAGTCATTTATAATGTCCAACAAAAATTTTATTTAAATTTTTTTTCCTTATCACATATTAAAAAAAGTTTTATTTTACATTGTTCAACAACAATATCAAAGAGTAAAGTATTAAAATTCTTTTACTCTACATTGTTCAATAACAATGTCAATGGTAAAGTCATTTATAGTGTCCAACATAATTTTATTTTTTTGTACCATTAAATCAAACAACACATGATATGTTTTACAATATTTCTTTTATTTTTATCTATCGGTATAAACCTAAAATCATGAATCAAACCACATATCTTTTGAATTATCAATTTTTATTAATTTTAATTGTTATTGACCATTTATCTCTTCAGCGTCTACATGAGCGGGAGGGGTAGGAACAGTTTGCATCCTATTTTTTTGAGGGGGTAGGCTGCTTTAATGGGGGTAGGATACATTTTTGGGAGGTTATCTATTAAATTTTGAGATGAAATAGGACAAAATTTATTGCTGTAAAAATTAATATTTTTATTATAGAATTATTATAATACAATTATCGACCAAATCTATATAGGCAAACAATTCATACACATTGTTTTCCAAATAAAACTTTCTGCTATCCTTTTAAATTACATTTAAAAGGTTTAGATATATCAGCAAGCTTATAATGCCATAATAATTAATTCATTGTAAATAATGGAGATTTTGAATGAATTTATTTTCTAAAAAATAAATTCTTAAAATCAAAAAAATAAATTCTTTATAATAAAAAATTATTTGGTAGAGATAGATTAATTTAAGTTATCTTTATAAATTCTTCAAAATAAAATAAAAGAGACACCGCCGCCGAAGACGGCGGGAATTTTTTAGGGGGGTAGGCAAAAATTTTTGAAGGGGGTTTGCATCCAATAAAAATCCTGTCATGTAGACGCTGTATCTCTTACTGATCACCACGTTTGAGAAAATTTAAAATTTCTTTTTTTTAATTAAATCTTTTAATCGCATTAATTATCTTTACATTTGTTACTTTACAAGTCACATATTCACAATTTATTAAGTATTTTAAGTTTAATAATACCCGTACCAGTCATATTTAATCTCTTAAGAATAATCATTATTCATTCCTAAATTTATTATGAAAAACGATTAATATTCTTGATTTTATAACAATTATAAATAATATATAAATTAAATAAATTTATTAAAAATATTATATTTAATATTTCTAATTACATTATATAATGTATAGAATAAATCAAAGTATTTTGCTAATCAATCTCAATAATTATAAACATTCTTCAGACTTAATAATTATGAATATTCTTAAAATAATTTTAAAGAATGTTAATATTCCTTAATTTATATAATTTTCTGACAATTATAACATACAAATTAAATAATTTTTTAAAACATTATAAATTTACATAAACTAATCAATTTTTAAAAAATCAAAATGTTAGCTAACTTCAGTCTATAAATCTGAACTTAATGATGATTATAACTGATCTTAAGAATAATCAAAGCATAAATAATTTACGAAAAATATTTAAGAACATCTTAGAAAAAATTTAAATCTTTTAAGTTTGATTTCTATTTGGCTTGTTGAAGTCATTTCAAAGATCAGATGTTAGTTCGGTTTCTAATTTTAATCAAATTATGTTTGGATCTATTCCATCATTGATTGCTTCCATATTTGAAATTTTGTTTTTAATTTTCAAGAATATAGTTACATTTTTTATTCCAGTTTATTTCTTAAAAAAATCTATTAAAGATCAGACAGTATTTATTACAGGAGCCGGACATGGGCTAGGTAAAGTATTAGCAAAAGAATTATCTAAACTTGGAGCCATCATTTTATGTTGCGATATTAGTAAAGAACTATGCGAAGAAACAGTGGAAGAAATTAAAAATAGTGGAGGAAGTGCTTTAGCATATATAGCTGATGTAAGCAAAAGAACTGATATGTATGAAACAGCTGAGAAAATTAAAAAAGAAGTTGGAACTGTTAATATATTAATTAACAATGCTGGAATTAGGGTAGGGAACACCTTTTTAGATACCGCCGATTACAATATACAAAGAGTATTAGCAGTGAATATTTTGGCTCATATGTGGGTATGTGTTTAATACCCTAATCAAATTTTTAATTTTTGAATATAGACAGTAAAGGCATTTTTGCCAGATATGGTGGATAAAGATAGTGGTCATATAGTTACCATTTCCAGTTTGGCTGGGTTGTTTGGGGTAAATGGGCTAGTTGATTATAGTACTAGTAAATTTGCTGCAGTTGGATTTCATGAGTCAATTTATTCAGAGATGCAAATTTTAGGAAAAATGGGAATTAAATTTACACTTATCTGTCCTTATATTATAAATACAGGAATGTTTCCTCTTTCGAATAAATTGTAATATTAACATGATAATTATATAATAGTTTGATGATTATATTTAATATTTTGTTTGATAGGGGATTGTCTTTAGATCCAGAATATGGAGCTAGAAAAATTGTGGAATCAATTTTAACAAACAAACAATTACTCATAATTCCACATATATTTAGGGTTTTATATCTATTCAAAGGGTAATTTATACTATTAACCTTTTTATTTTAATTTTTTATTATAAGATCAATGCCATTTAATGTGCAATTTAAATTGGGACGATTATTTGGAAATGATATATTTCTTAAAAAGGAATATTGGAGTTAAATATATTGCTCAGTATTTACATTTGTATATTTGCATATTAATTTTTTTTTAAACATTTTTTAAAAAAAGTACAAATATAAAATTATTCATATTTTTTAAATTGTAAAAGATTGAAATTATATAGCATTTAAAATTGTGATATTTATTTTTAAATTCTTCATTTTTTAATTGGAAATTTTAATGTTAATCATGCTTAAAAAAATTTGAACTTATATAATATTTTAATCATGTTTTATACCAAAATGAAGTCATTAACATATTAAACTTGTCTAATGTTTTATTATATTTAATATTTATAAATGATGTTATTTTATTATGAAGTCATTAACATATTAAACTTGTCTAATGTTTTATTATAATATTTATTATTTAATATTTATAAATGATGTTATTTTATTAAAACTCTAAAATTTGGGATTATCACATTATTTACTAATATTTACATAAATAAAATATTTATATTTTTGACCTTTAAATAAAATAATTCTAAATAAATTATGGTGCTGCTAAACATATGAGCTTTATAAAATTTGGTGCATAGATTTGTATTAAAAGGAAATTTCTTAAAAATTATATATGAAATTTAGAGCAAAATTTGATTAAAATCTTGCACATAAACATTCACAAAAAAATATATATTCTGCCCATTACAGGAATTTAGAGCATTTTGATATCAACATATTTATACCAAAAAAATAAAATAAATAAAAGCTCTTAACAAGTGCATATTTCATATATTTTAGCAACATTAATCGAAACGTCTGTTAAATTATAATTAATAAGCTGATTTTAGGTTACGGCTGCTGCTTAAGGGTAGAAATACTTTTTTTAGGGGTGCTATAAAAGAAATTTTCTAATTTTTAATTCACTAAATAAATTTACATTATAATTATTTAAATAAAACTTGTATCCATTTTTATTAAAATTATGAAAAATAAGAATTGAAAATATTTTCCTAATTTAGTAAAAGCAAGCCAGAATTATTTTATTCTTGCCTTGGATCAATAAATGTAGCATGCCTCAAACCACCCCCATTAACATTTTTCGGCCTGACTTATGATACTCGGCCTGTAATTTTTATTTGGGAAGGAAAAATAAATAATTTGCATTATTCAGAGTTTTCAAAAAAAACATCTGGTTTTAGAGTGGCTACATGGCTCCTGTTTCTGTTATATATACCTTTTATTTTTTTTCTAAATCTGTTTTCAGCCTACCCCTTCCAATTATGACTTTCCCCTCAGGACATATTTTATGTATTTTTCATAAAATATATAAACATCTCATTTATTAATCATTATATATACAATTTATCATATATACAAAAAATTGTCGTTTTTATGTATATAGTGGCTTAAGCGATGATGAAGAATATAACTTACCTTCATAGATCTTGGTTCGAATCTATAAACATGTTTCTGAAGCTAGCGAAGAACGGAAGCAACATCATGATTACACCTTTTAATATTTTAATATCGAGTCTTATTGCATTTTAATAAAAATTAGTTGATGTTTAACAAATTTTCTGTAAAATTTGGTCGTTTTTTTTAGCAAATGATTACGACGAAGAATATCACTTTACACACATTTTATGCATTTAATGAATTTAAATAATAGATAGTTGCTTTTTTAAAATTGGTATATTTATTTTATCTTAAAAAGTATTATTTTTTTTCAAATTTTTTTTTGAGTGTTTTTAAAATTTTAAAAATTTAATTCTTACAGAAATATATTCCAACGTATTTAGAACTCCTTACCTCTGAATTTTAGGCAATTTTGCTGTTAACTTGAGTCATTTATATTAAAAAAAAAATCTATATTTAAATTCATGACAAAATTTTCTAAAAATAACAACGTAGGTTTTATTTTAAATTTAAAAAAAACGCGCTCAAAAAATAATTTTAAAGTGGAAAAAATAGCGAATCGATAAATATATTTATTATTTATTTTGAAAATCGTGCTTTTTATTGATTATATTTGTTTTTATCTAATATTTTTCCCAGTAGTGTGTTGCTAAAAAGCCCAATTTAGGTCTTAAAAAACGGCCCGATTATAATTTTTAGAGACCTGCAGAGGTACCATTTGTATGGCCCGGCACGGATTCTTTTACAAAAATTTTTTTTTAAATATATATTTTTTTTATTTTTACAGCTAATAATGACGATTTCAAATATTTGGTTTTAAAATATAGGCCCGGCCCGGATATTTTTTTAAAAAAATTTTTAGGCTCGGCTCGGCCCAGGTATATTTAAAAAAATTAAACGGGCCGGGCCTGCATCTCAGATAATTTTAGCCAAAATAATATGTAAGCCTCGCGATTTGGTAGATAGACGTCCACACCTTTATGTCATCTCTGAGCAAAATTGCATGGCTTATATGATATCATTTTGACTAAAATGTTAATCGGAACATTTTTAAAAATCGTTTCAAATCGGGCCTTATAATCACACTAAATATGAACAGAGTTGTTAAACTATCCAAATTTATAAGTGTGATATCGGTATCTAGATACTATCTTATTAGATACTTTTTAGATAAATTCTTGGTATAATTTTATTTTACGATTTTTTTATATTAAAAATAATAATCAGAGAGCTGCAGACCCGGCCCTAATTCCAGGTACACGGGCCGGGGTGTATTCTATTTTTTTTAGATATGCCCAAGCCGGGCCTAATTTAATTGCCATTATTAGTTATAAAAATTAAAAATAAATAGAATATTTTTTTAAAAAAAATCCGGTCTGGCCCTGGAAATATAAATCCCGGATCGAGCCTTGCAAATGGTACCTCTGCAGGTCTCTGAAAATAATATTTGATTTAAATTCATTTAATATGTCCGAGTTTATTTCATTACAAAAACAATCCTGACAAATTTTATTTTAAGCAATGGATGACAACATGGTAAATTATATATATATTAATTTTAAAATGGGCGCCTCTTTAAATGATATAAATAACTGATATAAATTTATACAATCATTAAATTTTGAGTAATTTTTTTTTTAAATAACTGAGAGTAGTCTAGATTTTAATATATTTAAATGATTTGTTATTCATTAAATATAAAAACAGCTCTGCGGTGTTATAGATTTAACATTTGCGGCGAGGGGAACGATATTACTCTAAAAAAAAATTAGGGGGCAGGCTGAATATTAAAATAGCGCGCTACTTTTTTCAGTAGCGGTAGCTTTAGCTGGCTACTTTTTTTAGAAAATAGCGATAGCGGTAGCTCGCTACTAATTTAGAAAGAAGCGAAGTAGCGCGCTACTTCACTACTTTCAATTTTACATAATAAATACATCTAAAAATTATTAAAATATATTTTTTATTAAATCAAAAATTATAATCCTTTTCTTTTATTTTATTTAATTTTGAAATTTATATTTAAAAATATACATTATAAATCTAGTTAGCATTATAAATCTAGTTATTAAAAAATGTGTGAGATTGTTGAAGATAGTGAAATTTCTTTGGGAAATGAGAAAAATATAGATTCAAAATTCAAAAAATACTTTAATCTTGAAGAAAAAATTACTACTGGATATCGGTTTCGATGCAAGAAAATTTTGCCAACCACTGGTGGAGTCTATGCTAAAAGGCATTAAGAAAAGGTCAAAACTTTATTTTTATATGAATGATTTATTGCTTGATTAGCCATAATTTAAATTGGCTTAATTTACAACTCAATCTATAATATTAATACAAAATTAATATTAATTACCTTGTGTATAATAATTATATTTTTAAAATCTTTATTTACCATAATTTAATGCTATTTTAATATTTTTTTATAAATGAATCTAAATTTCAGATAAATTTAAATTTTGAAAATTAAATAGGTATTTTTCTTATTTTATAATTAATATAATCGCTTTATATAAATTAGATTTCCAGATCTGTATGATGATGATAATGTAATAGCTGCTATAATTCATCCTAGTTTCAAGTTAAATTGGCTATACATTAATTTGACTGAATCTAAATGGCAACTTGATAGGCTGATGGTAACATTAAAAAATGCCATGCCTAACCACGATACTAATACTATAGTAAGATCGAAACCGCGGCCTTCCATAGACGATTTTTTTAAAATAAATAATAATAATATTATTGAACCTCTAGATTTTTTTAAATCTAAAAAATACTCATTTAAATATCTTTGATGATTTTTTTCATATAAAAAATGTGTTTATTAAATTTAATACTGCGTTGCCCTCAAGTGCTAGTGCTGAACGATTATTTAGTATGGCAAAGTTTATACTTTCTGATCGTCGCTCTAGACTTGGGGATGACAGTACAAAATGTTATTATTATAAAGTGCAATATTAAATAAATTATATATATATATGTGTAACAAATTATAGTCAAGTTTTTATACCAATATTTTATTTGTGGAAATAAAGTTATGTAAAAAAAATTAAAAAAAAAAACAAAATAGCGTAAAGTAGCTAATAGCGCGCTACTCATTTGAAAACGATAGCGATAGCGTGCTATTTTTTTTATAAAATAGCGGTAGCGATAGCGCGCTACTTTTATAAGTAGCGTTTAACAACACTGGCTGAAACAGGCAAATTTTTATGTTTTAAAGAATTCGAGGCAAAAATTTTTTTTAAAAAAAATCTTTTTTATAGTTTATATCAATGCATTTCATATAAAATAACTATCTAGAAGTTATTAACTTGAAATATGTTGCAAAAAACATATATTGAGTTATTAAAATCCTTTTGCCAATTTATCTAGACTTATGGTTTTATCTTAAAACTAAGGATCGTGATCGAGATCATTTTGCATCAAAATATGGTCCTTGGATTTTTTTTCTTTCAAAAATTATTATTTTGCTTATAAAAAGTATATAAATAAAATAAAAAAATTTTTCGCCATATTTTATATTTTTTTTTTATAAATTTTATCAAGTCAAAATTTATGAATTTGATTAACGACCTTCAAGTTTTTATTGAATTAAAAATAAAATTAATTAATTTAAAGTTTATTTTTTTTTACAAATGTCTATTAAAGATCTGGATGATAAGAGACATACAATTATCGAAGCGACAGATATGAATGAGAACCTTTTGCTTAGCTCCGTATAATAATTCATAACGGTAGCGGCACTAGGGGAGGCACAGGGACAGGGGTCTTATACCGTCTGTAAATTTTGAAATTTTGTTTTAAACCTAAAAAAGAATTGAAAGTCATTTTGATGTTAGCTTTTATTTTAGAAATAGTTTAAATAAAATTTTTTTAGTCGCCCTGAAATTGTAAAGGCAAAGTGATGCACCTGTTTCAATATAGATTTCCTTCACTATATGAGAACTGTAGCATATTGGCAACAAAATGTCACCTAAAGTTTAAGCTTAGTTGGCCTTATATCAATCTGCCGCGAAATCTGTTAGAAGAAAGGAACTAACCTGCAGGAACAACCACATTAAGATGCTTACCCAAATGATTATATGAATTAAATTGATAGTTTCTTTGAGGAAAATTCTTCGCTAATTCCTTTTATAATTTTTTTTTATATTTGAATGATTCAATAAATATTTGCAATATTTATTGCAAGTTTTAAAAGAATATTTATATAAATATAATACATTTGCCATCAAGTGCTCCTTTGTAAAGCTGAACATGTTATTAATGAAAGATGTGAATACTTGAATGATAATGATTTATAAATTTATTTATTATTAAAAAGCTAATTTTGATCATATATAAAAATATTAATTTTATTACAATAAATTTACACTATATTTAATATATTTTTATATTAATTAATTTTGCATATAATATAAATGTTCTTTAGAAATTTATAATATAAGAAAAGGATCGTGATATTTATTTTAAATAAAAAAAATAGATCCTGGATTTCGGTCTTTTTTTTGAAAATATCATAATTGGAATTCGATTTATGAATAAATCGGAAATAGATCGAAGAAAAAAGGTGGAAAAAAAACTGAAATATTCACCATGAATCTATTTTAATATTGTTAATAATATTAATCACACGTTTCCTTTATTGGTTACCGTTTACAAACCTGTGACTTGCCAGCCACTTTTTAATATATGTAGAAGTATTCCGCTGACTGAGAGGAGGCCCGTGTACTTTTACCATAATTAAACTGGAAAAATGTTTTATCATAAAACTTGCATGCAAATCCGTCATAATGACATTCTTAAGGTATAGCTGAAAACCTCGCTCACATTCAGCACTACTATACGGAATCCCAAGGGAATTTATTAAAATTAAATGTAATTAATTTTAAAAAAATCCGAACCGGGCCTTAAAATATAAAACCCTGACCGGAACGGGTAGGAAACTTTTTTTTAAAAAACGGGCCAGACCGTGCAAATGGTACCTCTGCAAGTCTCTGATATACATATACCGATAAAAAACTGTATTTAAAATTTTATCGGATATCTAGCAACAAAGCGTTTTGTTTATGGAATATATAATTATAATTAAATGCGAAAAACCACATCATTTTTTAAGTGACAAGTGTCATTCAGAGGTTTAGAGACCCAGAAAGGTTCTTATTCGAATTCGATCACAATCACTAAGACAAGATTTAGTTAAGGTTAAAGTTAATAGAGATATAAATTGGGCTAATGTAATATCTCTTCATTAATTCTTTTTAAAAAAGAAAAGCATTAAACAGCTTCTCTTCTATAGGGTAGCAAGATTAGTTTAAAAAAACAATTATATAATATATCTTGTCAGCCAAATTATTGTTTGTTTTCCAAATCCTTCCTTTCCAGCCATCTATCAATATAGTCAAACATATTATTGAATACCCCCCCCCCCAATAAATAATCCTACCTTCAGCCTCATAGTGGCGGGGGAGTGGCAACGTCTTTTGGAGGCTAATGGATCCATGTGGTCTGAGTCTAGAATAGGATCACCTTCTCCTCGATGGGTTGTAGAAACCACCTAAAGGAGTTGATGTCAGGAAGGGCATCCGATTGTAAAAACCTTGCAAGAAAATTTCCTAATTATTAAATCAGAGGAAAAACTGGCCAACCTGGGAAAACCTGGAAATCGCCATTAAACGGAGAAGATAAAGAAGTTTATTAAATAAATTGATTAACAATATAAAATATACGCGTATACATAATTATAATGACATATTATCATGAATTATAAATATTTTAGGTGACTTTTATTTTTTATATAAATATAATCGCAAATTTTGGTAATGTAAAAAATTATTTTGATACCATATCCTAGCTCAATGAAATTTGTGTTATTTTAACGCAAATCGCTGACTTTGATTAATGTATTTTAGACATGTACATTTGATTAACATTAATTCCTAAATCATCCGTGAAAATTTGTAGCTAATTTCATTGAGATAGTATGGGGTATTAAAAGAACAATATATATATATTCTATTTTTTTGGTCATTAAAAGAAATTGAGATAATTTAGCTCTCCACGCTTAGAACCTCAAACTTTATTCCATGATCATCGAGATTTTGAATCAAATTCGTTTTACGGAAAACTATCGCAGGAGTCAAAACGCCTCCTCTAAATTAAAAATACATATATTTTTTTTTAAAGTAAATAATAATAGATACAGAGTTATAAAGGTGGCATAAGGTTTACGCTTATTCAAATCCCAAACAGTTGACTAATGTATAAATGTAGATTAATTCGGCTCAATGATGCAGAAAATTCGTTAACATTAAGGCGTTTTAATTTATATTAATTTCTTCCAAATTGAGCTGCTATCACTTTTTAAGGAAAACCTTGAGGTCAAAATGATAGTTAAAAAATTTGGTTTGGCCGATTTTTTGACCGGCTAAAAATTGGCCCAAATGGCTATACCCCCCCCCCCACTAAACACTTTGATTTCCAGTATCTAATACTACTTTTTAAAAACATTTTCCACTAAAGATGGCCCACTATAAAATGGTAACGGCGCATGCGCATTTTTGAAAACTGAACCCGCACCTTAAATATTTTTTTTAAGAAAAAAAAAGAATTATAATTTTAAAAAATTAATAAGTTTATTTTTATTTCTAAATAAATTTAAGGCAGAAAAAATTCTCTTTGTAAAATAATTATTTAGTTTCTTAGAGGTAATAAAAATCAAAATATATAAAAATTTATAATATGGTATATATTTAAGTTATTTTATTCCAATTCTATTTAACAAATATAATAACTAAAGTGAACCAGAGCTATTTTTTCACTGATAACGGTTATTTATCTGGTCGGGCTTGGATCTTATAAAAAAAATATTTACAATGCTGTGGAATTCTCCACTTGTTGACAGTTTCGTTTACTACCTTATTAAGAACGATCACATTGAGGTCAACCAAATCAATCATTTTCAAAGCGAAAACTGGCTAAGAATATGGTTTAAGGCAATATTCAGTTCCAACCTTAACCGCCACAAGGCAAGCAACAATATTACATTACACACTTTCAAAAAAGGCTAGCATAACATCCTTCCCTCGAACTAACAGGTCTTTTCAAATGATTGTTTAAAGAAGACGAGATGGTATTGCCTTATGGCACGCCAATCAAATAATTCATATGTTGCACTGGCCCATACGCTTCAAAATGCAATTTTCATTTCCACAAGGAACCACATCTTAGAAATCTTGGGGACAAGACTTGATATGTAGCCTCGTGAAAAAATTACTCTAAATATTAGTAATTCAAATCAAGGATTTTATCTAAGGCAGATAATTTCTTAAAAATCTGTTCATTTAACTTCCCGGGCATCCAATCCTCCCTTAGATGTTTCACATGGCTATTATAATATAATCTGCCAGATTGAACGAGCTCGCACTGGATCTGGTACATCTATAATTAATAATGGCACTTAAAAAAAATAAATAGAATATTTACGATGTAAGCAGTTTGTTCCTTTCCTCATGAAGGGTGAGAGCTACTTGGGTGGCGCATATGGCTGTCGTTTTATACGCGTCTAATTAAATTGATTGGGTTTAAAAACATAATATAGCTATTAATACAAAATTTGGTAAAACGATTACACTTCAAACGCATCGTTATAAAAAGAAAAGTTGTTCAATTTCTGTTTCAAATATTCCTGCTAAAAATAATAATATCACGGTTAGTAAAACCTGGCCCGGAGACGCAAATTTTTATGCCGGCATCGGGCGCATGCTGCATTTGAAGCATGAGATCTCTGCCGCTGAGCTGAGGATTCTTGGAATAGGAATAGCCTTTCGCAATCATGATCCACCTAAATGCAGTCTTAGACAAGTCGTGTCTGGACGGAGAACCATTAACTCTCACTTGACCGCACGTAAATATTTGGGGATACTAAGAAGGTTATTTTAAAAAATATATATATACTATGTTATTATAATATATGCGTCGGTATCCATGAAGCTAAAAATATTTTACGCTTAAAATCCTGTTTTAATGATAGATAACAAGGCCATTTTAAACTTCACTTAGCTGACAATGGTGTAAAACATAAAGTTATATACAATTAATATATTTTTTTAAAAATGATAGGAAATTGCTAATTTATTTTTATAAAAAATAATCTTTTAAATTATACGATATACAGGGTAATCAACCCCGGATTTAGGAATTTTAAACTCTATTTAGAGAAAATGTTGATGATAGGAATTTAAGTGAAAAACTATTTTCTGAAAAGAGATTGAACCTGCCCCAGGTTCATATTACACCCGGCTCAATGAGTTATCCTCCGTGACCTCAAAATGTTTAATAAAACAATTTTAAATTTCTGTTACTAATTTGTTAAACAGCTTTACTCTTAACAATATCTTTAACTTCTATTTTAGAGACCTGCAAGTACACAAACTGCAGGGCCATGCCTGACCTGGATTCGTTAAAAAAATATAGGTTTGGATGCTTAAAAAATATACTCATTCGGCATTTTACGGATAGTTTTTCAACTAAAATAAAATCATTTAATATGTAATAACTTTTAAAAATATCTTCTCTACTATTTTTAAAATGATAAATAAAGATTATTTTTCATTTAATTCAAAAAATAAAGTAGTGAAATAACTAAACGTAGGTATAAAATTATTTTATTTTAATGCGGTATAAATAAATAGTAATCATTATATTACGAACATTTACGGTTTTGCTATATTATTATAATACAAATAATACTTTTAAAGTTTCGACATTATATTTTTAAAAAAAGTATATTATACATGATGTATAAAATAAAAATCTTTAGGAGTCGAGGTAATTTATAACAAACCAGTATTTCGTCTAATGGCAAGAATGACGAAATTTATGCCCAAGATAATAAAAATAAAATCTTTTACAAATTATCGCGAGGAAAGAGAAGCGTATCCACATCTCACCAGTTGTGGAAAAATTCCGCTCACAGATTGCTCTAGATAGTAATCGTCAAAACCCTTTTCGCCAGGTTTGGTTGGGCCAAAATTAGGAAATTAGTTGTGATGAGAAGACCATCACTCTGACAGGCGATCCATCTTTAATGTTTCTTATAATTTGATAGTTAAGTATTTGTTATATTCATCATCTGGTAATAATATATTATCGGAATTACCATCATCCCATAAGTCGTAAAAGGAGTGAGTTTCATTCAACACACCTTCCACTCGACCGGTCGATGGGTATTTCCGTTATTTCTTATTCTTCCTGTAATTTGATAGTTTATACAAGTTTATGTAGCGCTCAGTTCCTGACAACATACGTAATTATCTGATATATATTATAAATATATAATAGTCGCGATTTAAAATATTTGAACCCCCGGGTATTTTTTTTTAAATTTTAGGCCTAGCCCTGCCCGGGTATTTAAAATAAAACTTTACAAACAGGCTCGTGTATCCGGGTCGGGCTTTGGTCCGGCCCTGATGTGCATACTTATTGATATACTATATTATATTTTTATTGTAAGAAAAATTACGTTCAGCCATTAAGAACATATTTTTGGTAGCAGTATCCAAAAATTTAATATACGCACATCCCTAGGAATATGTTTATGGGCGCCCTTGAATATACGTTTCTTGGTTTTAGTAATCAATTTATGATTTGTGAATAATAATAATCATAAAAAAGGACATTTGGTAAACAATTTCATCAAATAAAAAAAAATCTTAGTCATGTGATTTATTAAATTAACATTATCAGTAAAGAATTTTCACCACAGGCCAATTTTAAACAATTTAATCAATAACTCGCTAATTAAAAAAATATTATATGTTTACCAATTCCACTAGTTTCCTAGTGAGTTTAAATTTGGCCATAAGGTATACGATTCCCCCTATAAAGATCGTCAATATGGCGCGTAGAAGGGACTCTACCTTGATATAAGACCTAAATTGCACCTGTTTTAATTTTATTTATTTTAAATTAAACAATTTTTTTTGAAGCGTTTGAAATATGGGAGAGTGTTGTCAATCTATTAATCATTCGATTGATTGAAACTAAGCTTCATCATTTTTTTAAATTTATTTTTGAATTGAGCGAAAGCTCTTGTAGTTTAAAAGATCGGCGACTTATTGACATAAATGACAAGAAAGAATTAAGTTAAGGCCATGCAAGAGCGTTTGCGTTTGAGAAATTTAAAAGTTTAGAAAGGTGAAAAGAAAGAAAGGAAAGGAAGGAAGGAAGGAAGGAAGGAAGGAAGGAAGGAAGGAAGGAAGGAAGAAAGAAAGAATAATAAACCCTCTGTAGATAATATTTTTAAATGGTGGGTGAAAAATCATTATTATTAGATAAAGATGAGTGAATTGATAATTGAATTTTGCAAGCAAGCAAATTCTCAAAGAAATTTTATACTTGATAAACATATTTTAGAAAAGATCGTATTTAAAAAAAAATCATACTTGAAAAACGTCATGCAAGCACCCAGCATGTGATTTATGAGTGAAATTCTATTATAGAAAAACAAATTTCTGCACATACCAAAAAGATAATTCATAAAATGAGATATTTGTCTTTTGACTAACATAAACCATCATCTTGGCTAAAAAATCATTATTTAAAGATTCAAAAAAAAGATGAATATACATTACAATAAAATAAAGTAATTGGACCCTAAGTAATGGAATACCGTTCTTCTTACAGTTGAATCGTATTTCGAAATGAACTATGGTAAAGTTAGGGGTGTACACTCTGGTTTGGGCCTTAGATAACGAATAAATTTATTAGTAGGAGGGGGGGGGAGCGGTAAAGTTATTATACATTATAAGAGATAGATTATAAATTTAACATTGTAAAGCGTATGACAATTATAGCGTAAATTCTCACTTTATTTTTTTCTTCTTTATTTCTCTCTCTTTTTTCTTATTTTCTTACTTCTTTTTTTTCAACTTACCCTATATAATATACAAAAATCGATTTTCTTTTATAACCGGTCTTTTGCCTTCCTTCTCGTACATGTAATACTGACTTCTGAGTACGGCCGATTTATCGGCCGCGAAGAATGGTAAATACCAAGCGTCCTTACCAACAACCTCGCCGCTATCCCCACCTGATTTGGCGATTCCCAAATTTCCCAAGCCCTTGATTTTGAACAAAAACGGTCTCTTCTCCACAAGGAACGATTTGTTAAAAGGTAATTTCTTGGGCATCAGCTGGTTACCGACCTCCTCGAGCTTGTCATAATTAGCCATGCTCATGAGCGCCGATAAAAAAGTGGTATAGTTAATGGTCGGGCTCTGGTAAGAAATAAAAATGATATTTTATTAATGTAAGTAAAATTTGTGTCGATTTATTTGATTGATTATTATCTGATATTCACACATACCCATCCGATAACTGTAATATAAAACAAATTGAGGACCGGGTAGTGAAAGAGTAAGTAGGGAGGGAAAAAAATGATTGGCTTGTAAGAAATTATAAGCGAAACTGGCCTCGACCATATCGAGATGGTCGGTAAGTAGGGAAAGGGGTTAGGCCTGACCGAGGAAAATGTTAAACTAACAAAGATAGTGGCATAAATAACATTCTTTGATTCACATAATTTATCCTTATAATATGCACGGATGGACACTTAGATGAGCTGTTCTACAATGGGTAAGATATAATGATGGGGGACGGGCAAATTAAATTTTTTTAAGCATAAAGCGAATGAGCGGGAGGAATAAGTCAGTTTTGGGTATAGTCATGAAGCTTACCGTGCCCCCGATCTTTAGCGGTAAATTCAAGAAAAGTAAAATCAGTTTTTGGAAATTGCCTTTAATAAAAAAAACTGCGCGTAAAACTCACGTTGCCTCGATCTTTAGCCATAACTTCTAAATATCCTTCCATTCTATCAAGTTGTCCTATTTTTAATATTTATAATAATATAATTAAATTATTTCAATGAGAGCTCGATAGAAAAAAAATATCTACAAAATTATCAAAGATTTATTTTTTCGCCCAAAGTTTCGAGCAAAATAAAAAATCTTTGAAAATCCCCAAAAACAAAACGTTTATTTTTTTTAAAAAAAAGATAAAAATCATGAATTAAACATCAGTCTTGCCCACTCACGATGGCGCTTCAAAATTCGTGCTTATTCACATCAGATGCTCGATTTTTTCTTAGTCCGACTCGCCCACTCACGAAAGACGAAATTTTAATAGAATCAAGTTTCAGAAAATGATATTTTCTAGTCTCGGTTTTGGCAAAGTGCCTACCTACACTTTCTTATTTTGCTTATAACTCAGTAACGTTTCATTCCGTTGTTTTCCGAATAGAAGATCAATTAACGGGCTACACAATGATATACGTTTCGGTAGTTGATCCTCAAGTCGTTCCACCAGCTTCAAAATTTCAATAACTCACTAACCTTTAATTCTGCTAGTGTCTGGGTTGAAGATCAATTAAGTCTCTAAATATTGGCATAGGTTTTGTTAACTTATACTCAAGTCGCCAACTTCACGAACCTACTATTTAGAATCAATATTTTTTTCTACTAAATTTTTCAAAACATGATTATATAATATTTTTTATGGCTTTCATTTTGGAATTTGTTTTTTATTTTACCTTTTTATTTTCTTTCATCAAAATATTAAACATCTGTAGTCTCTTTTCTAAGGGTTGCAAAATGGGGTATTAGCCAGCCTACCGACATCCGCAGTTAAAATATATTTAAAACAATGGGTGGGAAGAACTGGCGAGGTAAATTTGAAATATATTTTGGAGAAAATGAGCAGAACTAACTTGAATTTTATTTTTTAAGTTTAAGTAAAAATATATATAATTTTTTTTTTTTTATAAACCATCAAAATTATTTTCAGCGAAAATGACGCCCATATCCGAAGGAACGCAATCGAATCCGCAAGCGCCAATGATAAACACCTTAGCCTCGGCAGCTGCTTTGTCGTATTTCAGTTGCGTTTTTTCGAGGACCTAGTTGATCATTAAAAAATAATAATATATATATATATAATTTTTATGTCTTTGTAATATAAATTTTGATAATTGATAGTAGTTATAATAACTATTTGGCAAAAGATGTCTAAAGAAATTTAAGTTGTTTTTTTTTGTTGAGAAATAAAATATGAAAATGCATTAGTTAAGAAAGAAATGGAACGAAGTAGAAAGTGAGTGAAAATGAAAGTGTATTATAATTAATTTGAATGATAGCCAGTCGACTCCGTACATTTCGAATAATTCGAATCGAATACTTCTCTTCTTACGAATAGCAAATCATTCGATTCGAAGTCGAAAATTAATTTTTTTTTAAATATTAATAAAATTTTTATAAACTAAATACTTGTAAAATACAATTTTAGTTACGATTCAACTTAATTTTATTTTACTGCTCAATATTATATAAATACTGCCCATTTTGATAAATTTATTGCCCAAAAATTTATAAATACTGCCAAGATAAGATTAATTTGTTGTATAAAAATACTGCCCATTTTGATTAATTACTCGATTATTTCAGGAATATCATCTTTATTTTACTATTTTTTTTATTTTGCCTACAACTCACTTCCGGTTGATTTTTGTGGCATCCGGTTTGAAAGAATGAGTAAGCACAAATTAGGCACTAAAAATATTTGGACAAATTAAATCATGACTGCTTTAATTTTACATTTCCTAACGATTGATTCTCAAAAAATCATAGCCTTTAATATCTGTTGCTTTATTTATCTATCTATTATATATATTATAATAATCATAATAATTTAATAAGCCCATGAAATACAATTCAAAATGTGGATACTTATAGTTATATTATGTAAAATAATAAATATTACAATCAAATATCTCTTTTTGAGATAAAAGTATTTAAAGTTGGTTAGCCCGAAGATTAATAACCTGCTAAAAAATATAATAAAAATATTTTACTACAGCAAATGGAAAAGATGCTAGAGTATAAAGGGATACTTGATTCTTCATTGATGGAGAAAATATAAACCATGCACTTCTTGATAATGAAAGTATTTTAAAAAGTCTTGTACAACTATATAATTTTATAAAAGCTATTTGTAGACAAATAGCGTTAGTGAAAGTGAATAAATTTAACTCATCTGACGTTCCTCAAGCATTTATTCATATCAGAACAGAACGAAATTAAAGTGACTAAAAAATTTATAAACATCGGATATTTTTTTTGCCGGAACATACATTTTGCTGCACATATATTTGACCCAAGATGTTGCGGATTTAATTTTAAGGATGAGTTATTAAAGAAAAATTTTATCAATGCTAAACTAGTACAGCATCGGAAAGAAATTAATCCCCAATATATTATTAGAAATCTCGAAATAGAATATAAAAAAAAATTGATAAGGTCAGGAAATTGTTATAAGAGCAAATATCCGGTTTATAGGAAAAGTAACTTCTGCAAATGACAAGTATCTAGATTCTAGATGTTTAAGCTCAAATCTGCAATTTTTTTTATCTTCAAATGAAGATAACAAACAAAATAATTGAACTTTTATCATACCTGTTTAAATAATATGTTAATAGTCCATATGTTTTCAATAAAGCATTTTAGAAAATCAATATTGGCGGCCTGTAAAATGTTTTTAAAAGGTTTCCTCTTATTTAACCTAATTTCTCAAGAAATTAGTCATAATTTTAGTTTACCTAGAAAACTACATCACCAGGTAACACCTTCATCTTTCAAACATAATGAGTTTCTTTTTTAAAGTAACGTTTATAGCATTATTAAATAACAAGTCTAATCTTGTAAATTAGCATGATTGATTCACTTATTAAAGGCCCACACAGTGTCCTTAATAATTATCTCTTAAAATAAAAGCTTTGCAATTTATTATAACTAGTGTTGTAAACGAAAGCGTTCACGAAGTTCGTTTTTTTTTTGAAAAAAAATGATGTACGGCGTTTTTTTTTTGACGAACTTTGAACGTGAACGCGTTCAAATTTAACGTTCGTTCCATTTTAAAAACACATTTTTTTTTTCCAGTCATGGGTTACTTTACTTGAATATTTACTGATATGATATGTTGTCAAAATGTAGTAGTAAATAATTAATTTTTTTTAAAAGGTAAAATAAATAAAGGTGAAAAATCTAGAAATAGAATTTACGGGAAAGGATAGGGGATAAAAAAAAAGGAAGCTAGGAATATGGAAAGTTATTCAATGGAAGAGATAAAACGAGATAGTTAGAGTGAATAATGGCGGTAGCAAATTTTTGGCGTAAGAAGAGGGATTCCTTAGGCTGATCGGTTTTTTCGCGAATTCGTTTGCTTAATACTTTGAAAAAACGTTGAGTTTTGCTACCGAAGGTGGTGAGAATGGAGCAGGCAATTTTTATGAATAAAAAAAAGAGTCTAAGGAACCGTACTTTATGGTTTTTCGAGATTCTGCAAAGGGCGAGGGCATCGACGTTATGGTTAGATGGTGCATTTGGGTCAATGCAGGTGAAATCCCAAACCAGGAGCTGACCTCTTGACCAAGGAATCAAGGACATACCATCAGGACGTTTTCCATCGGTTCTAAAAATTTGGTTGGTTCAAGTCTAGATGGAATGCCTCCTGATTTGAGGGCGCGTAGTATGATGTTGTTGCACGTGAAAAACGGCCTCGACAATAGCCACAATGGAGACAATGTCTACCCTTGCTGTCAACACTGGTTTCGCAATGTTTGCATTGGTACGGTAGAACAATTTCGCAATTGTGCCGTAGTCCAATAGCAAATCTTAGCTTCAGCAGAGAGCAAGAAATCAAGGTTATTTGAGGGTATGATTTCCAGAAACTCATAACCGGATCCTTGGTTCAATTGGTGAAAAACTGTGAGATCGTCATCCTGAAGGCTCGATTTTAGGTAAGCGACGGAGCCTTCGTTGAGTGGAATATCCCAGTTCTCTATGTGAACATGAGGAGGGTCGTGAAGTATTTGGGACAACGGAATTGTCCCAAATGGTCTGGGCTTCAGCTAATAAGGGGTCCGGGAAGTTAGAAAGCTGGCTAATATTGAGTCAGAAGAAAGACGAGAGGCGATGAAACCACTAATGGAAAAAGTTAGAGGTGAGCTTAAGCCGATACCCCCGAGCTTCCATGGAAGTGATGCTTGTAACAATGAATTATGGTTAAAGCGGAGATTATGAAAAATTTAATATTAATTCGAATTTTTTAAGAAAAAGTCTCATATTTTTTAATCAGCTCTTTTTCCTTTTTCTCATATAAATTTTTTAACAAGCCATTATTATAGTTTATTAATTTGAATATTATTGTTTACATTTTAATTTAATAGATTAGTGTAAGCATGGGTATTATTATTTCATTAACATCCTCTGATTCTGAAAATTTAAAATCAGATGCATTAACATTGCCATGATCCAAATATGATAAATATTTTACAGTAACATCTTATATCAAAGGAATTCATTACATACCAAATGCAAAATGTGCCCAAAAAGTTTTATATCAGTTTCAAAATCTTCAGGTTCCAATTTAAAACAACATTTGATTGCAACATTAATTCTTTTATTTTATATAATATAACTAAGTTAAAATCATTAAATTTGAAGAAAAAATGCATTTGGATTTAAAAATTAAAAAAATTAGTGGCCTTAAATATGATCAACCATTGATAGAAGCAGTATTAAATGGGATTAATAAAAGGTAATAAACCTATCAATATCAAATTAATTACATATATTTATTTTAAGATTAGAACATATATATGAAGATTAATATGTTCTTTCTGCAATGATACAACCAATATTTAAGCCTCAATGGTCATGGACTTCCACGAACCTAATAAACTTGAATCCCGGAAAATAATTCCCCGGAAAAAAAATCCCGGAAAAAAATTCCCGGAAAATAAATCCCCGGAAATTAATTCCCCGGAAAAAAAATCCCCGGAAATTAATTCCCCGGAAAAAAATCCCCAGGAAAATAATTCCCCAGAAAAAAATTCCCAGGTAAATAATTCTCCGGAAAAAAAATCCCCGGAATAAAATTCCCCTGGAAAATAATTCCCCGGAAAAAATTTCCCCACTATACATTGAATTGCTAATGCATTGCTAAACTGCATTGCTAAAAGGCAATCAATCATTATCAATTATAAATCAATCAAAAATTTATTACGTATATTTTTTTAATGATAATTTTTTAAACTTTTTTTAAAATATATTTAAATCATTTTTTTATTATAAATGAAGAATACTGATTAAATGATATAGTATATAATTTTATTTTTATTTAATATTATTAATAAGAAATTTATTTTTCTAGCTTATTAAAACAAATATACATTTTATTCAATTTTAAAAATTAACAAATATATATCCGTAAGAGGGCGTTATATGTTTTAATATGTATCATTTTAGGAAACCGGAATGATGATTGGATAGCATTTTTTTTATATTTGGGTATATATATACATATGAAAAACCTAAAAATTAAAAATTTTTTTAGGTTTCTTTGATGTTTAATGAGTAGGTTTAGAATAGTAAAACAATGGAAATTTTTTAAAGTAAATATTGCTGGCGTTATTTATCAAAATCTCTTCATTTTGTTTTATACGTGTATATTTACGTGCTAAGCATTATTCTAAAAAATATTTTGAAAATAATTTGATTTGACCGATTGCCGAGCTCAAAATCGATCACTCACTAAATATTCGATTGACCAAATTTATTAGGAATATAATTTGAAAAATGTTGATTTTCGTTTTATATATCTATAAATACGTATAAAACATAATCCTAATAATTCTTCAGAATTAATTTTATCAAAATTTTTAAATATTTTATTTGAGAATTATTATTTCGTTGATTTATTTATAGGGAATTTTTTCTCCTAATTTTGTAATTTTAATTATCTTAAAAACGGAGATTTTTTTTCCGGGGAATTATTTTTCTAGATTCTTTTTTAATATAGCTTACATTTAATATATTTATTGTAGCTTTCGTTCTCTTCGCTACACTGCACAAGGTACGATTCCCAAACAATTTATTTTAAATGAAATAGTTACATTTCTCATATTTAAATAAATATATTATGCTAAGCTAACCTATCTCATATTTTACTTTTAATAAACCTTTTATCGGTCCGTTGTCTCACCCCCTCCTTCATTATTATATAGGATTTAACTTGTAATATACAATAAATTTATTGAATTTAAAACAAATTAAACAATAACATAAAATTTATCGAATTTAAAAACATTTAATGGTAAATCTAAATATATTTCCGCGAATATGAATTTGATGATTTATTTTCAAAAAAGATACTCCAGCAGTAGTCCGCCAACATATTTATACGATTCTTGCCGGGAATTTAAATTGAAAACTTAAGACCCCCCAAAACGAAATTCTTTACCATTTTTCTCAAAAAGCAATCGATAAAAAATTATAAAAATTAATAAATTTATAAGGAAATATAAATCTAACACTATCACCAATTTTCAGGGATTTTCATTTGATACTTTTTAAAATATATCCGTATTACCATTTTTGAGATTTCGAAAAGTTGCCTTTATACGATAATATTTTTAAAACTTGACGTGAAGGGAAAACTTAGAAAACGAATTCGAACTCAATGTCAAATTCTGCACCAAAACTTGTTTTTATTTATTTTTTCTCCCATTTTTCTTGTCACACAGTACAATTAATAAGATAAAGACATAAATATTAAATAAAACCTATACAATAATTTTAATCTATATTTTTTCAACTATTTAGGTAGAGATATCAACATCCAAGGATGTTTTTATCATCTAACTCAATCAACTCATAGAAAGATTCAGGAATTGGGGTTAGAATCATCATATCGGAATGATCCAATGTTATGCTTATTTGCAGCTATGATCGATGGATTAGCATTCTTACCTATACACGATGTCAAACGAGGTATGGAGTATTTAAAAACCATTGTATCGGATGAAAACAAAGAATTATTGTTTTATTTTGATAAAAATTATGTGAATGGAGAATTGAGACATGGGAAAAACTCTCAAAGGCAAGTAGAGCCATTGTTCCCACCAGAAACATGGAATGTGTTCAATGTTACGATTGCTGGGGAAAATCGAACAAACAATGTATGTGAAGGATGGAATAACCGATTTAAGCATATTGTAGGCAACAAAAAACCGAAGATATGGGAACTACTCGAAAAAATAAGGATGGAAATAGCGGTTGATATGGGAAAAATCGGCCAATGGAATATTGGGACATACACTCCCAAAAAAAATCGTATTTATGCAACGAAACAAACTATTTTAAAAAATTTATGCATTGATTATTTAGAAGAGAGAAGGGACTTGCCCAATTTTCTCTCTTCAATTGGAGAACATATACGTTCTAGAATTGTTTCTTTTGAATAACATAATTTATTATTCTATATATCATTTAACAAAATTATAATTATTTCTTTTCTGTAACTTTTGAAAAAAATTCATAAGCAAAATAATAATTGTTAGATTAGAAAAATATAATACTCACTGCTGATAATCACCTCTGGATGTATTTTGATTAAAGTGGTCAGCATTTTTCATTACTTTTGGCAGTATTTAATTAAAATTGGGCAGTAAAAAATATAATTTTGTAAGTTTTATAGTGATTTTGTATTCAGTCAGTTAAATTCTTAAAGTAGGATACTTCAGTAAAATAATATTTATCAAATAGAGGGTATCAGATTGAATTGCTAATTTCCTATTTAGCCACAAAATTTATAAAATTATATTATTTAATAGCTTATCCTTGTAAAAACAAAAAGGGGCGCTATTTAAGAGTCAGTAAACTGTGAAAAGCCTTTTATCATATTTCTAAAAAAATGATTAAAATTTGTGTAAAAATAATTTTTCAATAAATACCTAAAAGTTGATGAAAGTGTGTAAAGGTGAACTAGATTTATTTAACTTTCGTTTTATTATTTAAAATCTCAAATCCTCGAAGAAATTTGACTTTAAAAAACATTTCTATTTAATTAAATACTGCAGAGCAGATCCGGGTCACGGGATTTTTTTTCCGGGGAATTATTTTCCTAGATTCAAATTTACTAGTAATATAATTTGAAAATTGTTCATTTTTGTTTTATATATCTATAAATACATATAAAACATAATCCCAAAAAATATTTTAAAAATATCGTGGTTTGGCGGATAACCGACTCGTATATGTTTTACTCGTAATTATAGATATATAAAACAAAAAATGAACATTTTTCGAATCAACTAGTAAATTTTATCAATCGAATATTTAGTAAGTGGGGTTTTGAGCTCGGCAATCAGTCAAATCAAATTATTTTCAAAATATTTTTTAGGATAATGCTTAGCACGTATATATATACGCGTATAATACAAAAATGAAGATTTTTCCATGGATAACGCCAGCAATGCAGTATTTGGTCATTCGGTCGGTTTTCGGGTCAAATCACGATATTTTTAAAATATTTTTTGGAATTATGTTTTATACGTATTTATAGATACATAAAACAAAAATCAACATTTTTCAATTTATCTTAATAGCAAATTTGATCAATCAAATATTTAATAAGTGGTCGGTTTTGAACTCGGCAATCGGTCAAATCAAATTATTTTCAAAATATTTTTTAGAATAATGCTTAGCACGTAAATATACACGTATAAAACAAAAATGAAGAGATTTTGATAAATAACGCCAGCAATATTTACTTTAAAAAATTTCCATTGTTTTACTATTCTAAACCTACTCATTAAACGTCAAAGAAACCTAAAAAAAATTTTTAATTTTTAGGTTTTTCATAATAAAAAAAGTGCTATCCAATCATCATTCCGGTTTCCTAAAATGATACATATTAAAACATATAACGCCCTCTTACGGATATATATTTGTTAATTTTTAAAATTGAATAAAATGTATATTTGTTTTAATAAGCTAGAAAAATAAATTTCTTATTAATAATATTAAATAAAAATAAAATTATATACTATATCATTTAATCAGTATTCTTCATTTATAATAAAAAAATGATTTAAATATATTTTAAAAAAAGTTTAAAAAATTATCATTAAAAAAATATACGTAATAAATTTTTGATTGATTTATAATTGATAATGATTGATTGCCTTTTAGCAATGCAGTTTAGCAATGCATTAGCAATTCAATGTATAGTGGGGAAATTTTTTCCGGGGAATTATTTTCCAGGGGAATTTTATTCCGGGGATTTTTTTTCCGGAGAATTATTTACCTGGGAATTATTTTCGGGAATTTTTTCCGGGGAATTATTTTCCGGGTATTTTTTTTCCGGGGAATTAATTTCCGGGAATTTATTTTCCGGGGATTTTTTTTCCAGGGAATTAATTTCCGGGGATTTTTTTTCCGGGATTTTTTTTCCGGGGAATTATTTTCCGCTTACCAATAAACTTATAGCGTTATTGAAAACCCTAGAAATGATAATACAAGAACTATTAATTTCGAGATATCCTGGATTGGAGGAGGCTAACTTATCTCAATTATATGAAGCAAAAGGCAAAACAATAAATGTTTTTAATAAATTCCACGCTTAGAAGAGTTGTTTATTAAGTATAATACTCCAATCCCCTCATTTGCGTAGTGTATGTTTTTAATATACTTAATTTCGTATTAACTGACAAGCGTTTCTGTCTATCAGATGAAAATTTTGAAAACAATTGTCCATTAAAAATTAATAAGAAAAATTTTTTATAAATAAAAATATTATTTATCCGCTTAATTATATTGCATTTATAATTCTATTATCAAAATAAAACTATATTATTTTTTAACATGGCTAATATAATGGGCTAAAATATATAAAACATTTATTTATATTAAATTATAAAAAAATTTTCTGCCCCCCCCCCAAATTTGAAATTTTTTTTTAGAATTGATTATTTTTATATTTTTAATATAAATTTTAAATATTTATTCAAAAATATTCAAAAAACATGTCTATTTAGAATTGATTATTTTTATATTTTTAAAATAAATTTTGAATATTTATTCTACAAACATATCTAGTTTGTAAAAATTTTTTTTATCCTGTTTTATTTTTATTTTTACCCAATATTAAATTATCATTCATTCATTTTTTTTCATCTGTTTTTGTTGTGTATCACATTCTCTATAGGTATCACATTAATATTATAATATATAACCAGTTATTTTATTTTAGAGCGTTTATTTTAAAATTATGAAGAAACAATCAATTATAAACTCTTATTTTAAGTTAAAGTTAAACAAATGTCAAGCAACATCACCTCTACAAACTACTAGTAATACTACATCAGAAATTTCAGAAACTGATTCTTCTCATAGTTAGTATAAATTTATATTATTATTTCATGACTTATATGATATTGATATAGGGCAATATTTGTATATTATTATTTAATATAATATATATATTTTATATAAGATAAGAGAAAGACATTTATTATTAATATTATCATTTTTGTATAATAATTTTAATTATTAAAATAAATATATTTACTCATATTTCAAGATATGAATGAAGCTAATCTAGAAAATCAAGAGGAGGAAGATGGTAAATAGTTTAAAATTTAACCCAAAATTTTCTATTTATATATTTTTGACAATATGAATAGGAGTAGGAGATTATGGTGTTTCATTATTACATTTTGATTTTAAAACAAATAAAGACGAAGAAGAGACTCAATCATCTTCATCTAGCAGCTCAGTCTCTCATTGTCAAGAAGCAACTAGTAATTGATTTATAAATATAAAAATATTATATTTTTTTGTTAATCTTTAAAGATATAATGTTTATGACTTTTTTCTAGTTTTTAATACTGAAATTTTACTGATCAACTTTACTGATAATCTTCATCAGGGTTGGGCACTACAGTAACTTGTATCTTAAATACAAGATAAATTTTGTGTTTGTTCATTTTCAGCATGCCCTTCCTTCGCCCATCCTGATGACCATTATTATTTATGACCCTTTCCCTCATTACAATTTATTAATTATAATATTTTTAGTGTCAAAAAAGTCCTCTAATGGTTCAATTCAAATCCCTGGTGACCTTGGCCAGAATAAACCAAATCAAATCAAATTAAACAATTACGCGAAAAAAGATATCCATGGAAGGCAAAGATCATTTCAAAAATCATGGTATAGAGGCCGAGACTAGTTGGAGTATAGTGTAGAAGCTGACGCTGCCTTTTGTTTTCCATGTAGGAAATACTTGTGTAATCTAAGTGATGAATTTGGACAAACGGGATTCAGAAATTGGAAAAATGCGTTAGCTGCCAAGAAGGGACTGCTTAAACACGAGAGCTCAAAAGCTCATTTAAATTCAATTACAATATGGCATGATAAAAATCAAAATATAAACAATGGTACAGAAATAACTAAAATGTTGGGAGGTGATCAAATTAATCGTAATCAATATTATATTAAATCAATATTTGATTTGATGCTGTTTCTTAGCATACAAGAGCTACCTTTCCGTGGGACTGGTTCAACAAATATTACGGATGCTGCAAAAGATGAAAACATAATTTATTCTTCTGGACTATTTATAGCAATGTTTTCCTACACCATCCAAAAAGACCCTGAATTAAATAAAATTATGAAATTTATACCCCAAAATGCCCAGTATACATCACCACAGATTCAAAACGAAGTAATATCCATTATGGCAGATATGGTGCTTGAACATATTTCAGACAAATATAATAAAAGCGAGATGCCTTTTTTTTGTCTTAAGGCCGATGAGACAAAAGATGCTTCAGGTTGTGAAAATCTGAGCATAATAATTCGCTATATTTTTTCTGGAGAAATCCAAGAAAATTTAATAGGAATCATTAATTTAGAGTGTCTTTCTGCTGAAAGCATTACAGATTGCATTTTAAAGCAACTTAATGATCTAAATATTAATTCAGCTAATATAATAAGCCAGGCATATGATGGTGCAAACGTTATGTCTGGCCGAAATGGAGGAGTGCAAACACTTCTTCAAAAAAAATTAATAAAAATGTTCCTTTTATACATTGCTACAACCACAAGTTGCATCTTGTGGTTCAAAATTGGTATAATAATATTGTTATTATTTCTAATTTTTTTAATTTATCAAATGCATTGTATAATTTTTTCAGGCGTTTTAACGTATCCTGTAAATATACAGGCCACACCCTTAAGAGACTTTTAGACCAGAGATGGACTGGTCATTTAGAAACATCTCGCATTATTTATGAGAATTTTGAGGCTATTGGTGAAGTATTATTTTACTTTTCTAATAGAACTCTTAATTCCGAGGTTTCAATTCATGATTCAGTCGAAGCCTCTGGTCTTTTATCTCAATGTATTAATATAAATTACATTATATTAGCCATCATAATTTATGAGATATTAATTACAATAGATCCACTAAATAAGTATCTACAATCAGTAGGTACTAATTTAGTGGATGCTAAAAATTGTATTGATTCTACTATCAATATATTAAAAAATAAAAGAAGTGATAATTCTTTTGCTTTGATTATGATTAAGGCTGAAAAACTTTTATCAAAATTTAATCTCACTCCCCAAAAATCATCACGGGTACGTAAAACGCCTAAAAATTTCCAAGATTTTTTAGTTGATAGCAAACTAGAATTCGATTGTGAAAAAGACTCCAATTGGAGTTCTTTAAAAAGGATATATTATGAAATTATAGATAACTTTGTGGATCGTTTTTTAGACCGATTTACAGAAGATGATTTTAATCTTTTTTCATCTTTTAATACATTGTTCCCCCTTGACCCTGATTATTTTTTATCAGATAAAATGGCCCCATTAAAATCCCTGTTAAACTTAAATATGGAAACACTGCATCATGAAATGAAGATAGCAAAAGGATTGCTAGCTTCGGAAGCTAAAGAAAATCATAATTTTGAAAACATCTTACATATTATGTATAAAAAAATATATAATCATGCATTTAAAGAATTATATAAATGCTACTCAGCAGCGATAATCATTGGGATATCAACGGCTTTTTGTGAGGCCTCGTTCTCTACATTAAAGAGAGTTTTATCGAGCAGTAGAGTCTATGAAGGATAAACGTAAACAAAATTTAGTATTAATGGCGTATGAAAAAAGAATAACGCAGAATTTATCTTTTAGTTCATTTATATTAAAATTTAAAAATAAAAATCGCCGTATTCTATTATAGTAATATTTTGTTTTGTATATGCATATTATAGTATTATTTTGTTTTGTATATTCATATTATAGTATTATTTTGTTATTAAATTTTTAATAAAAATAGGAAAAAATTTCTATGAATGCGTAATTATTTGTTTGATTTTAAAAAAATAGTGCCCCCCCCCCAAGTAAGCACTTGGCCCCCCTAAGTGAAAATTCCTGGCTACTGCCCTGAATATTAATAAGTCTAAAATAATAATTTTTATATAAAATTTGTTATATAAACTTAACATTTATATAAGCTTCCATTATATGATAAAACTTGTGTTTTTTTTTCAAGGCTATAATAATAATTGTTATATAAATTATAAATTTATACAGGCCTTTATTATTTTATAAAGCTATTTTTTCATATCAAATAGTGTCTAGTATAGTGAAAATATCACCAATACAATTCTTTATTGATGGAAAATGTATAAAATAAGCAAATAGAATTTTCCTCATAAAAAAAAACTTATTTATCAGTTCATTATAAAAGTATTATACAATTAGGATATGAGTTATATTTTTAATGTATATCATAAAACTAACCAATATCTTACAAATGTTTCTCCACATATGTCTAAGTAATCTGTCCCATTTTCAATACAAGCTTTGACAACTGGTTCACCATATAATATATACTTTCAAAAATATTTTAAAAATAGAATTAAATATTTTATTTTAATATCTTAGAGTTAATTCATGAAATATATATAAAAAATTACAGGTCCCACACAATTGATTAAGAGATTTGTTTTAACACAGATCTCTTTCAAAGAGATTGCATCATTAACATCGCCAATGTATAGTGGAATGTTTTGCAGGTCAACACCTATATTATGAATATCTAAAAGCTTTATAGCAATCATAAAGTACCACTATTTTGAGAAGCAGTTTTTAAGGCTTCAATTAGTTTGGCTTTATTGCGACCAGCGACCGCCCATTTCACTGATTTAGATTTATCCGTTTTGGCTAATTCTTCAATAATGAAAATAGCAGAATACCCGCTAGCTCCAAAAATAATAATATCAAACTCCCTCGTCATCGTATAAATTTAAAAAAAAAAATTTGAACGTGGTTTCAAAAACAGCTGAGTGTTTTTAAACTAAATAACAAAAATATCCTCAAGTAAAAGCAAGAGAATTGTATAAAACTTTTATATATTAAGAAATTAATTCTAGTATTATTCGATAATTATGTTATTATATAAATTTAAATAAATTTAGGGTTTAAAAACATGATTAGTTAATACCTCTTCTGCATTCTTCACCCTCGACCTGTAATACACAACTAGTGCATTTTGAAATGTATTTAACCTTAAGCTTTTTTTTAAATATTGAATTAGAAAATATTTTAAATGTAATTCCATCAAAAAGTGTACCATTTTAGGAGTAGTTTTAAGCTTGACTATAGGTATCTTTCTACTAGTATATAAATGACACAATCCAGTATAAGATTTTAGTTTAAATAGCTATTAGTATTAGTAAAAAAAATTTAAAAGATAAAAAGTTTAAAACGATACCAATTTAAAACAATTGTATAGACTAAAATTAATTTTGAAAAATATATAGCATCATAATTTAATTAAAATTAACTAAAATTCAGAGTCACTTTCTAAACTTTGAAGTTATTATTAAAAGTTGAACTATTTAAATTTTTGATATAATTTACAATGTTTAAGTAAAGATTTCGTATGCATATCAAATATCTTAATGATTATAAAGGAAGATTATTTAAACAAATACAGAAATGGAATAAATGGTCTTCTTATCCGTTTTGTAGCGATATTCTATTAATAATGAAGAACTATAAGAAATTTTAGTTTCTACTGCAGCCGTATTTTTGATTATTGCGGGATTTGCTGTGTTATTTCTACTATTATTGTTTGGGCAGGTATAAATTTATAGCTAGAATAGTCAAGCGATTTTATAAGATGCATTATTTGTTTTATGCTTACCCTCTTTTTTGTAAAAAACTCTGGATAATCAGTCATATCGGTGTTTTAATGGTTTATTTAGTTACAATTACTTTTATTATTTGAATGAGTGGACTGTTTATTCTGTTATCAAAAGTTTATTCTCTGAGTTTTGTCTAAGATTAGAGAGATTATATTAATTATCGGATTTAAGGGGAGATTTTTAATAGTTTTATTGCAAGGAAAATTACTCATATTTTAGGCTTAAACAAAGTGATTTAAAATTATTAATAATATTTTAAGATAGTGCTAGATTGTCCAAAACAATCATGATTATTTTTTCAAATATGAGTTCTTATTCCAAAAAATGAAATTGAACTTAGGTGCTTACTATGAAAGAGGTCAAATTGTTATGTTAAAAAGCTTTCATGAATTAATAAGGCATTTCTAAAGTATACGTTATTATCTTTAGCAGCGCCTTTAAAAAAATACTATTTGCAATATGACTAAATAAGTACAATAAAACAAACGATCTAAAATTGATACTTTTATAAAAAAAAATAAACATTTTTAAAATATCGGTTAAAATATTCAATATGATTTTGTTTAAGAGGCCTATAATACCCTATTAGAATAGAAAATAATATTTTTTAATATAGAATTTAATCATACGAATGCGTGTTTATAATAATTTATATGCAGAAAATGCGTTATATTGTATTATATTTAACAGATTGTAATAAAAATTAAGTATTAATATAGTATATTATATACTAATGCCATTAATAAAGTTTTCCATTATAATTTTATCAAATCATATTGTAAATTTTTTTAAAATTAAGATGAAAAGAAATTGTAATTACAAATACTCTAAAAAATCACGATTAAATACAATTAATAATCATTTTATATGCAAATAAATTAAAATATGGAAATTTTTTTCCCATCGTAACACTGTAATTATCCTTTTTTTCTAGAAAATAAATTTGGAAATTAATCAATTTTCAAAATTTTGAAATTGTAATTTGGAATTAATTACAATTACGAGTAATTATGCCCATCCTTGGTCCAACAAACTATTCCGACCTAAGTAGCGGGACCACTTTTTACCTAAAACCAACTTCTTGTGACGAGGTTAGGGTAAGGTTAAAAGGTTAGAAAGATATGGGTGAGGGTTAATATTATATTTAAAAAAAAACCTTTCAATAAAATTTTATGGCTAAATATGCAAATTTTTCAAATAACATTACTCTAAAAAAATAGGTAAAACCTCGATTATGCATTATTTAATTAGATTAGATTAGTGAGATTTAGATACTACCAAGTCAAGATATAGCAATTTTCTAAATAATCTAATTTGTTAAACACCGAACAAAATTTATTTAAAAAAAACAATAAGGCCTATTTATATTTCAAAAGATATATTGACGGAATCATATGTTCGAGTCCGATCTAATATATATCACCCCCCCCCCCCCCCAAAGAACGGAACTAATAATGCAAAGTTATCCATTTAATGTCGATTTTTAAAAATGGATAACTCGATATTTTATCCAGAAAAATATTACGCAAGCCTGAAAATTTTTTGCTCATAGATAGATAGCACAAAGGGTTGGATATCTATTAATAAAATCTAGAGGAGGCAATATTTTTCTGGCACAAAAATCGTTGAGCGATTTTGTAGTTAGATGGAGCCACCAAGTTGGCTTCATAAAAAAACATGATCCATCCTGGATTCGAAGTGCCATCGGATTGGCAACGATGTTCTTATCGACTAGGCCACAGAAAATCACGATTGTGTAAATATATATAACCAAATTTGATATTGATACTATCTATCCAAAGCTAAAATATACAAAATACCACTTTGCATTATCCATTTGATTATTTACATTCATATTATTCATAATTCATGTATTCCTTTTCCTTTCATTTACGTTTAAAAAATTTTCTTCCTTTTAGAAAGTAAAAACAATAATTTTGTTCTAACTATAATTAGTTGTTCTGTCGTTTCATTCTTTCTCTCGGTCTCTATGTATGCCAATAATTTTATTGAACTGGAGGTTTATTTAATAAATTGATTAACTATTTGAAATATATATATAAAATATATTACATAATCTAATGTCCATATGGTTAACACGAAGAATATGAATTATATAAAGAAAAAAAAAGATATATAAATGATTGTTTACTAGTAATAAAAATATAACTATAGCGATTTTATAATATTACAATAAAAGAAAAATATTTTAAAAATTTTTTAGAATATAAAAAAAAATATTACAAATTTTGATAATGCAAAAATATACCCTGTCCTGCTCAATGGAAATGGCTGCAAAATTCTTCCACCGGATTGTCAATTAATGTATTATTTAAGCAAATTATTTACTATTTCTAGAAATGTGTCTTGGACACGTTCATTTGATAAAATTAATTCGTAAATTCGGCGACGAAATTTGTAGTAAAATTTATTGAGCTAGGACGGGTCATTAAAAAAAACAATATATATTCTGTTTTGTCATCAAAAGAGATACAAATAATTCCCTAGCTCTCCAAGCTTAGAACTTCGAACTTTATTCCGTGGTCCTTGAGATTTTGAATCAGATCAGTCTTATGGAAAGCTATCGCGGTAGTCAAAACACCTCCACTAAATAAAATATATAAATTTTAAAAAAAATATATATATATAGTTAATGGCAATGGACCTATATTTCAGTCATTTCGTATAATTTTAAGTATATAAATAAAAATTGTATTGACTACCCTATAAATTTCAGATAGCACATTGTCGGTTCCCTTTATAAATGTCAATATATCGGGCTGGATCCAAAATAATAAAGAAACACAAAAAACAAACAACTTTTGAATTTAATTTTTGGTTTATTTCTTGAAATATATTTATGAAATCAAAAAATAAAATTAGTCTTTAATTTTAAAATTAAAAATAAAGAAGTATTTGTCTTTTTGGTATGTTTTACTGGACATTAAAAAAATATTCTTCTTGTGTCGTGTCTTAGATTGTTATAATGAGCGTATAGTGTTCTGTTTATAACGAAAAAAATTCCCGCATTAACATTTTAATTTCCGGTTATCAAAAAACTTTTTTATAACGTTTCTCACTTTTTTAAGCGCTTTAAAATTTCTGGTTTCCCGTTACGCATTTACTATAGAGGGTCAATAAGGCAGCTAACATTAATAAGAAAACAGTTAATAGTTTAGAAGGGTTGGCAACCGGAAATGTTAAAAAAATAATATAATTAATAAGTTCAAAGTGATGCTCTTTAGAAATCTACGTCGGAACTATATTTTTCAGGTCCAAGCTGATCATAGAAAATTTAAAGAAATTTGTTATACCGACCCGATAATTATTTTAGAGAACCGAGTTCCGTCCTATTTTAAGATCAAGTTACGAATCCGATCGAGTAAGAGAAAATGTCTGTCAGAGTTGTGTCAATCAATAATATTTCGAATAAATTTAGGCAGAAAATCTTATTTAATTTTTATGTAAAAAATGTGAGTAACATCAACCAAAAATAATTTTATCGCAATATTTACGCTGTAGGCAGTTTGTTCCTTTCCTTGTGGAGGGTGAGAGCTACTTGGGTAGCACATATTGCCGTCGTTTTATAAGCATCTAAATTATTAAGAATTGATTTATTTTTTAAAAGGAGTTAAAACTTTAGTTTAAAAGATAAAATAAAATGCTCCCATAACTGTGCATAAATTTTTTCTATCTAATCAATAATTTAAAATTTATATAAATAGAATTTTTTTTTAAAAATGTCTGATTTAATTATGAAATTAAAAATCATCAGACTCCGATCCAAAATTGTTAGCATAATATAAAATGTCGGTGTAAAAACCTGGCCCGGAGATGCAAACTTTAATGCCGGCATCAGGTGGGTGCTCCATCTGAAGCATGGGATCTTTGTCCCTGAGCTGAGGATTCTTGGAATAGGAATAACCCTTTGCTATCATGATCCACCTAAATCTACTCTTAGACAAATCGTGTCTGGATGGAGAATCGTTTACTCTAACCTGGCCACCAGTAAATATTTGGGGATACTATGAGGGTAATAATAATTTTTTGTTATATATATATATTATACAATTTATAATATCCAGACTTTACCTTTTAACTTATACAGTACCATTAACAGTGTTTCATTAATGTTCTACTTATTTACAATAAATATATTTGCGTTTTATTTAATTTCAATTTTATTTTAAGGAAAATCACGTGATTAATTTTATTTGTCACATAAGATTTGTAGTTATTATGTTGCAAGATTTGTTTAAAAAATAATATATTTTTGTAATAATAGAAAAATTATCAATTAACAATATTTTAAGGCAAAATAAAATGATTATTATTCGATACAAAAAATTATTCGTATTTTATCACTTAAACGAATTGACATTCGTAATTATACCAATCAAATAAGAATAGTAAATTCTATTACTTATGAATAGAAATTATTAGATTTGTTTAAAGAATCGAATACGAATAGCAAATTATTCGATTTGTTTAAAAGAAGCAAATACAAATAATTGACTATTCGATTCGTACTCGATTTTAAATAGGCCTAATGGACATATAGGAGAAGATTTAATTTTAAAAGTAAATATTCGAAGAAACTATATGATTTTTTAAAAAATATTATTAATTCTTTTTAAAAAAATTTCTTTTCTCTCTTTGGAAAATTCTATAGTAAAAAAAAAAGTATTCAAAAGAAATATCGAAGGCAAGGGACATTATTTATTGTATAGAACTTTTAAGTGTATCTATCTATGATTTATTCGATTTTTACACATGATCATTATTTAAAACGGCGCTTATTTCCCAGAACATAAAGTATCATTCAAAATTGGAATATACGCCGATCCTCTGGGAAAATATCTTTGGGCGCCCTTAAATATTAAAAAAATTTTATTCCGCGTGATTTATTAAATCGACCAATGAGTAAAAAAAAAATTTGACCAACCAAAATGAAGTATTTAATTTTACCATTTCCATCAATTTCCTAGTCCGCTTGAATTTGGCCATAAGGTAAACGATTCCTCCTAACAAGATCGTCAAGATGGCGTATAGTAGAGATTCTACTTTAAAATATGGTCTAAATTGCAGCTGTTTTTTTTTAAATTTCATTTATTTTTAAAATTAGATAATAAATATTTTTTTTCTCTTTTATATTGTATGTTAGAAAAATAGGAAACTTTTTTTTATTTTTAATTCGTTTTTCGTTGTCAATCAATATAATCATTTGATTCATTAAAGTTAAGCCTTTTAACTAGGTGCATGGGAAGAGGAAGGAAAAAATCAAAATTTACTGGTTCGTTTCATTCCAATTAAGTCCTCTACCCCCCCCCCCCCATTTCAAAAATTTAGCGATTTAATTATGTTTATAAACCAGAAAGAATTAGGTAAAAAATAAATTCGATCTTTATATTTTATAAGAGAAATGTTATAGTGAAAAAGTATTACTTTTAACATTTTTCCGACAATATGTGCCAAAAATGATACACTTTTTAAGCTATTATATGAGAATGCATCGTAAATTTCTTTCTTTCCTTCCCTCCTACCCTATATAATATATTTCATTTTTATTTTATCACCGGTCGTTTTCCTTCCTTCTCATACATGTAATACTGGCTCCTGTTCACGACAGATTTATCTGTCCCGGGAAAGGGTAAACACCAACCGTCTTTGCTAGCGACTTCGCCGCTATCGCCTCCTGATTTCCCGATTCCCAAATTTCCCAAGCCTTCGCTTTTGAACAAAGGCGGCCTATCCTGCATAGGGAACGATTTGTTAAACGGTAACCTCTTAGGCATCAACTGGTTTCGGACCATTTTGAGCTTGTCATAATTAGTTAGACTTATGAGAGCCGATAAAAAGGTGGCGTAGTTTAGGGCTGGGCTCTGGTAAGAAACAAAAATTGTAATTAATAGAAGAAGGCCTTTCTGGGTTACGCCTATCCATTTGATCCAATATTCATTCAAATCGATTCAATAACAGTATTGGATAGGACAACTCTCGTTAGCGCGTTTTACAATTTATCATTTTATTAAGTAATGGAAGAGAAGTAAGAATGGGGTGGAGCGAAAGTTAGAAAAAGTGTTATAAGAGTTTGGGACTAGAACCTGGACCTTTTCTTAAAATTTCTAGGAACTGCTTCTAACAATAGTGTGATATTTTATTATGATATAATTTTTTTTTAAATTGTGAGATTCATTTTACTCGTGCAAAAAATTTACGAACCGGAAGTGAGCAAACCCATTTTTAAAAATTTTTAAGTCGAAAGCTAACCCCATTTATTTAAATTTAAGACCCGGAAGCTAATTCCACTTTTCAAAATTTATGAACCGGATGCTAAAGACAATTTTTAAAATTTAAATATATGATGGAACCATTATTTAGTTTGTTCTAAACTCTGAGTATAATATATACATTTGTAAAAACCTGACGTCCAAAGCTGATTTACTTTTTTGGTGAGCAATAATAGATAAAAATACAACCAATCCAATGACATTAAAATACTATATAGACCGATGATCCATTCATATAAATGCGAATCAGCAGGTGACGCCATTTTGGTTATCCAGATTTTATTATAATCGGAAACTACAATGGAGTGTCACCATTTGATTCGTATTGAACGACGCTTCAAAATGCGTTTTAATAAATGGATCACCTGTCTCAAAGTAAATATCATATGCTATTTGGATACAGCTTTAAGTTCATCAGTAAAATAAATAAGCTCTGAAATGTAGCTTTAATAATAATATACGTATAAAACTTACGGCGCCCCAATCTTTCGCGGTAAATTCGCAATATCCTTCCATTCTATCAAGTTGTCCTTTATGTATATAAATTATCATAATATACGAATAAATAAATTTAACCTTTCCACGAAAAAAAAAATAGTATTGAAGGAAAAGAAGCCACGACGATAGCATGGCACATAAGGCTGGATTGATAGTGGGGTCCGATCCGACACTATTTTGCTGATCGATTTGTTTATGAGATTAATTTTTTTATTAATATTAATTTTACCCTTAATTCTATACATGGAAATAATCTAAGAATTATGGAATTAATTTTAAAAAAAATAATTGATCTCACTATAAGATTAATTAAAATAGTCAGCTGTTAAATCGTGTTGTTTCGGATCCCACTATAAATCCAGTCTAATACTTTACTTAGACTAAAGATTCATTCATTAAAAAGCATTTTGCGTCGTTGAATATAGGATAAGCAAGTGATAGGCCATCTTGTTTTTCTCCGTATAAAAAAATATTTATAAATCTTTAAATTTCTATTTTAGGTTTCACAAAATATTAAATATAATTTTTTTTACATTATGAAAAAACTATGGCATCTCCAATGAATCGTAGACTAGGTAGTAATATTATGTCATTTGACTCGTTTCATAACATCGTTAAAACAATATTAAATTCTGTATTGCATATATGAATACTGGTTCGAAAGATTTTTATAAAAAAGAATATTAAGCGTGTTGGTAAACAAATATTTTGCAGTGAGCATTATTCTGAATTCACAATTAGCACGAATTCGCGGCGAAGTCGTTTATAATGCTGCGTTGCAAAAGTAAATAATGCATTTCAAATGGTATCGAGCAAATTAGTAAAATTACGGCGTTATCTCATAACGTTCCATATTTATAAATAATATCTATTTATTGGCTTGATCTTTTAAATAAAGCACCATTTACTATAAATTTGGCCAGCCTCATTTATAATAATACGTTTTGTTCAAGCGGTGCAGTATAATGCTATCAAAATCACAGCTGATTCTTCACAGCGATAATAATTTTTGAAATATAAGTCAGCAACACATGTTTATCAAAATATATCATAATGATTTCACTACAATTGGCTTGATTTTTAAATAACACAGTTTAAATAGGGCACTGCTCGATAAATTAGACATTAGTTAAAATGTCGAATCGATGATATTAATTTTTAGTTATTATAATAATTTATTCATAAGGAATAAATTCATTAAGAAGATACGATTTCGTATCTTGTATTTTGGTTGGCGATTGACTGACCGATATTTGTTTTTTAAACAAAAGAAATCTGCTATTGGGTTGAGCTCCGGCAAATAGAATGCTAAATATCATATTAGCTTTTTAAAGCTATTAATGAGATAACTTTTATGGATCGAAGCATTGTCCATAAAAATAACCGCATCAGGTAGGAAATTAATAAGTTCTATGATATAATATCGAAATAATAAACCATTATACGATCCTTCGATATACATAATACACTAATATTTTTACATTTCGATGTTGGGGCTTTCACAGTTGGCGTATCGCACCCAGTGTATTTTTGCTATCAGGTCCTGCACGTTTTTTGGGCCACCCTATTTTTTTAAAATATATTTTCTTATAGTTTCTTCATTATTAGGATATCCCGTAGGTAACCTAAGTAACATATGAAAGTCCCACCATCGAAAGGTAAAAATATTAATAGATTAGGTACTATTGGGATCGATGATGTTACACTTTATCGCATTATCGAATTATTCCGAGATTATATCGTTGAACTTATTAATATCCTATCAAACAATGCCGTTATTATTATGGCCAATGCTTCTATTTATAAAAGCCATCTCATTGATAGCTTTAAAGAGCTAATAGAATATTTACCATCCTATTCGCCGCAGCTTAATCCAATAGAAAATTTCTTTGGATTATTAAAAAAAACAAATATTACCTTATATAGTTCGGATATATGGCCGTAAAGAAAAAAATCAAAATAAATATATATTTTTTTAAAAATAAACCATCAAAATTATTTTCGGCGAAGGTGACGCCCATATCTGAAGGAACGCAATCGAATCCGCAAGCGCCAATGATAAACATCTTGGCCTCGGTCGCAGCTTTATCGTACTTCAGTTGAGTTTTTTCGAGGACCTAGTTGTTAATTTTTTTATAAAAATTACTTTTATCGACAATATAATTTGATTTAATTCCAAGTTACGACACTTTTTTTATGAAACGCAATTATCTGTTCAAAATATTTTTTTTGTAATATATATTATATCCATTTTTTTTTTGTTAACACCATTGCTCGTCATGGTGAAACCTAACAGATTAAAATTAATTTCTTTTTAATGATTATTTTTTTTTATATATTTTTCTCCAACTATGGACAATTCAAAGTGAATTTTTTTTTGGCATGTTACGTTAAGATGCAAGATGATGGAATGAAAAAGAATAGAAAGGAAAAGAAATGTAGGAGAAAGAAAATGGAACGAAGGCGAAGGAAAGCCTACCGACTCTGTATAGTTACCATCTGCACGAGATGGGCCGGTATATGCCAGATAAAATGTTAAATAATTTTTTAATAGAAAATATAGATATTAGCGGCAATGTGTTATTTTTTAAAACTTTAAATCATTTTTTGAGCGGGTTTTTGTTTTAAAATTTAAAAATCTGATTTTACCGGAATTGTATTCAAGCATGATTAGAACATCTATCTTATGAATGTTAGACCATTTTGGCGTTAACCTTTGAGTCATTTATAATTTATATAAAAAAAAATCTATGGAAAAACGACTATAAATTATATTTAAATTCAAAAGTTCATGGCAAAATTCTTTGAAATTCATAGGGTATTTATTTCAAACATGATAGAATACATTTTCCGATAAAATACATTTTCCGATAAAATATATTTTCCGGTAAAATCAAAATTTTAAATTTAAGAAAACGCGCTCAAAAAATTATTTCAAGTTGAAAAAATAACACATTGCTGCTGATATATATCTGCAGGCTCTGTTCAGTAAGGTGAAGTTAAAACTACATCAATTAATTAAGTTAGAAAATCGTGATGGAGCGCTAAATACTCATTTTTATCCATATCTCCTCCATTTTCCTTTAATAAACACAATTTGAAAAAATACTAATGTTGTTAAACGGCTTAATTTTCAAAAAAAAAACCACTAGTCCGATCATTTTGGCTAAGAAAAATATTAAGCAAAACTGTAGATTTTCTGTCATAGATGGCAGAAAGGTTTGGATATTTATTTACAAAATCACGTGAGCTTGCACAAATTTTATTTTGGAAATGGCGAAATCGAGCCGTTTAAAACAACACTATAAAATACATCAAAAATTATTGACGATAAATTTTTAAAAAAAAATATCGGGCCGGGCCGTAAAAATGATCGAAATAAGAAATCCGGGTGGGGATAAAAAAATATCACGGACCGGGTTTGAAAATAAAAAATTTTTCGACTCCATAGGTTCTCTGGTATTAAGTTAAGTAAATCATATTAAAATTTTTTGGCTGACGTCAGGTGTCAAATTTTAATTTATATTTTAAAAAAATTATGAACCGGATAAAATTGTTCAATGCATCGGCGTAAACCCCCCCCCCCATATGCGAATTCCATCTTTCATAAATTTCTAATATAACAGCTTTTACCAACTATTAAACAAAGTGAGTAGTATTTATTCGAATCTAAAAAACCGCATCTGAATCATAATGTAAATCTACAAGGGGGCCACCTCTGTAAACAAAGTAAACTATATTATATATAAATAAAAATCCATGTAAAAATATACACTTTTTCTTTATTTCTTTCCTTTCCTTCCCTTCCCTTTATTTCTTTCTTTCTTTCTTTCTTTCTCTCCCTTTTGGTAAAGTAAATAAAATATATATTTCTTTCTCCGAATTTTCAAAATTAAAAAAATGGTTGTTATATTTTTCATTAATCAATAAATAAAAACATTAACAAAAGTTCGTCTGGCCCCAATGATATATAGTATATAATATATATATATACACTACTATCATTAAATGCATTTAAAAGTGTTCATATATAGGAGTCAGCTGTATCGCTCTAAAATGTTATTGGTGAATAAATGAATTAAGTAATATGTTGATGCATGTTTATCAATCTAATTAGGTTACATTTTATTTTAAAATATCCTTGTATCATCAACAAAGTATCGATTTAATTATAATTTTTTTATTAAAATATTAGAATTTCAATTTTATAATATAAAATTAAAAAAATTTTCTCATTAATTTAATTGGATTTCAATATATAAATATAATAACTTTGCTAAAGCATGTTTTGAGAAAATAATTAATTGTCAATTTCCAATCAAGATCGCCAGTAAAATACAAGGAACAAATACAAATATGCAAGAAAGTTCTGAAAGCAGCAGCTGAAGAAGTTGAATATTTTTCCGAAAGAAATTACCAATAATATATTAAATGAAGAAATATTTTGGACGAAAAATTGATAATTTTTAACGATTATTTAACATTTAGCTATCTTATTGTTGTGAGTGCAAAGGGATAAATGCATCTTGGTCCATGTAAAAAACGAGATTTAATTTGGACATATAATTTAATCATTCCATGATTTTATCATTTCCCCACCTGAAGAAAAAAAAATTAAAGATACGTTTGAAAAAGAGAAAATAATACAAATACATGTGCTCATACTGGTTATTTATTGGATCCCCAATAAAAGGTGAGCATTTTATTAGTAGAGATAAATGAATTAGGTATTTTAAGGTGATGATAATCAAGATATTTTAAGTGATATCATAAATTTCAGAAGTAAAAGCGGCGGTATATTTAATAGAAAAAATATGAGGAAAGCAGTAACTTTCATAAAAAATCAGATTTCGGCCTCAAGTTGTTGGAATGGGCTTTGCCCACCTTGAACATTAGTGTCTAATATATGATCTTACTAACAATTCCTAGTTATACTTCTTTTTCAGAAAGAAATTGGTCTGTTTGGGGTAATATTCTCACGAAAAAAAGAAATCGATTGAAGATCTCGTCAATCTGAAAATTGGTAAGAGATCGTATCCTAAGATTGATTAAAAATATTAAAGGAAATGATAATACGGAATATAAAACAGAACAAGAATCTGCCGTGGAGAGCGAAACATTAATTATAGAATTTTAAAAAATTATAATTTAATATTACCTATTCATTTTATACTGTATAAAATAAAGTTAACATGGTCTTAAAAAGCATTTATTTAAATTTGACCATTTTTGACCGGTCAAATGCACTACCCTGCTTGCTTTTAATCAAAGAATCGTAAAATCTAGTAGTATATACATATATACAACATTGGCCTGACCTAACCCTAAAATTGATATTATTTTTTTCGGTTAGGGTGGCCGGCTATTTTATTTTTTTTATATACATCATATATACAACATTGGCCTGACTCAACCCTAAAAATTGAAATTATTTTTTTTCGGTTAGGGTGGCCGGCCATTTTATTTTTTTTAAAAAAAAATTAAAATAAATTGTCAGCAAGTTTACTTTTTTTTAATTTTTACATTCCTAAAAATAATTAACTTTCATTTTTCAATTTTAATATCAAAAACAAAAGTATATATTGCGTGATTTGATTTCATTCTATTTAATAAATTTATTAATTTTATTTTGTATTTCAAATAATTATATTAATTTTTTTTAAAGATTCTTTATCAAGAGCTCCCGCACCTCCTTGTCTGACTTAACTTAGGCCAATCAAATTTGGGGAGAAGGTTTCCCCGATATCCGTAGGTTAATTTAAAATTTCATACAAACCGGATTCTAACAATTTTTTTTTATAAAACTTAGGCAGGAATCGGACTTCGGGATAGGAAATTATTTTCAGTCGATTCAGACGGAGACAGGATCTATAAGACAAACATTATTTATATCGAATCGGGCCGGAACTAATTATGTCAGCATAAAAAATGGCGCATCCTACTTCAAGAAAAGGCATTCTCTTAGAGCGAATTTCATGAACGTGTATTTTGGGTAAAACAGAGGGGGGGGGCATTTGCTTCTCTAAAAAGTTAAGATATTTTAATGGGATGTCATATGTCTCTTATATTACTGCCGGGCTTTCCCTTTATCAAGGGTGTGCTTCTCCTATATTTAGAAGAAATATAATAAGGCCGGTTACAGTTGGATAATCGCTCAATTTCGCTTATTTTTAACGACCTAAATCTAGGGCGAGCGCGATAAATTGCCTAATTCGTCATAAACCCAACTAAAATAAGGGAGGATAAGTGTCGTTAGCTAAGAAAAAACTTAGGTATGCGCGTAACACATATTCATAATTTGTCATCTAACAATTTTTTTTAAGTCCATTTTTTTCAAAAAAATAAAATCTTTTAAATGATAAATTTCGACCTATATTTATTTTTTTTTAAAAAAGATTAAAAAAAAATATTATTTTTTGTATCGCGGGAAAGTGGGGCGGGTAAAGGGAAGAACGTGTACAATTGGCATTTAAAATTTTAATCTAAATTCACAAATCGCAAGAATTAACTTAATTAATTTTATCGATCGTGGAGTAGTAATATCGATATTACCGCTATACCAGACGCGGCAAAACAAATAAAAAACCTGACATAAATTTTAAATATGTTTATATAAAACATCCTTTTTTTCGCAAAAAAATATCGATTTATCAATCTCTTTAAAATATATTTTATTACTTCTCAAGATTACTATAGTAATTTTTAAAAAAAAACATATATTCCTATCAACCAAATTATTAGAGATTCGTATTGACAAATAATCCGAACCGCCAATGGGGTTGGTTAGGCAGAACCTTGGTTTAATTTTTATTTCGGACCGGATCGGTCTGAGTCGAACCTGAAAAATAGGTATGACGCAGGGCCCTATTACATATCGTCAGTCAGACGGCCAAACCACCTAGAACTAACAAAACTTTCAAAATGCGATTTTATATTAAATATGTTTTCTTATCATATTCTTAAATAATGCTCGTAAACTGAAAATTTAAAATTCAAATATAAAAACTTTATTTCATTGTTAAAAAAATTTAAAATTTTGGCAATAATATGTATATGTTAGCGGCGATGTGTTATTTTTTTCAAAATTTAAATCATATTTTGAGCTCGTTTTTTAAATTTAAAAATCCAATTTAACTGGAAATATACTCTATCCATGTTGGGAATACCTACCCTGTGAATTTCAGATAATTTTATCATGAACTTTTGAACTTAACATATTTTATATTAGTTTTTCTATAGATTTTTATTAATATATAAATTATAAATGACTCAAATGTTAACGGTAAAATTATTTACAATTCATAAGATAGGTATTGTAAACATGTTGGAATACATTTCCGGTAAAATCAGATTCCTAAATTTAAAAAAAAGGGCTCAAAAATTGACTTAAAGTTGAAAAAATAACATATTGCCGCTAACATATATATTATTCCACAATCACTTTTATAATTTTTTTTTTGTTTACAGTGTTTGAAAAACAAAATCTAATTATTGATATCATCCCGAAAGATTTTTTGTGCATATAAAAAATTGGCATTTTTAGGTAAATTTGAGCAAAAATTTAAAAAGGATTTTTTAGCTCAATAAATATTCAAAATCTTTTTCAACTCTTGCTTAATGGATGTTCATATTTATAAATCTAAACATATGTTTTTTGGTCTCTCGAGTTAATTAAAAAAATGTAAGATGGTTTTGCATCGAGGTCGACGATATAAAAGAAACAGCCTATTCTGGCATAAAAAATCCCATTGGCCGACTTTTTTCCTTTTTATCCTATACCCCACAAATCTTATTGTAATAAAATCAGAGATCTGCCGACTCGAGGATCGATTCACAAAATGGCGTAGTTTTAAAAATTCGATAAAAATTAATTTAAATTATATCCATTAACCAATGAAATATCGCGTTACGGATCTCATCCCGTCATTCATTCGCTTCCCATATTTTCAATTTCCTTTGATACCATTTACAAAATAAGCCAAAATTATTTAAAATCCAGGTCTAAAAAAAAATTACATCGAACCGATCTTTAAAAAATTGGAGAAATAAATAACAAAATATAATTATATTCGCAGGCAATTTATGCAATCATTGCGTTTTTTTTTGTTTGCAAAAGCATGATATATAATCACAATATAAAGAAGATGCCAAGGTAAGGAAATTACAAAAATTAAGTAAAAGAAGCATTTTTTAAAAAAATGATCGTATACATAATCTATTAGAAAGGTCAGAGAATGTTAGAAATATTTTAGATAATTTTCCTAAAGAACCTCGCTTAAATAAAGAAATGAATATACTAGATTTAGGGATTTAGAGATATTAAATTGGTATCGGATCGGCACCTTGGACCTTTAAAATATAACAAATCGGCCGATATTTTTTAAAAATCAAGCCGTTACCGATTTATACATATTTTTATTTCATACATATTTTTTTTTTCCCTTTCTCGTGATAAATTTTTTTCATAATTCCCATTAACAATAGAAGTATTTTAAATATAAATTAATGTAAAAGAAAATTACCCAAAATTTTTGTGTATATTTTATTTGTCTGTTGTTTATTCCATTGTTTTATTTAGAAAAAATTTATTGTAAATAAAAATTATGCGAATTTAAATTTGATTTAATTAACAAAGATATCAGTATTTTATATTGGATCGATCCCCTTTAATTATAGGAGGGTTAAGGCCTAAAGGTTTCCAATTTTGGCAAACCTTGCAAGAATCAGTCTTCGGCACAGCTGGTGGGTGATATAGATACAGTGAAACGATACACATGTTTAAATATACTATAAAAGGGGGTAAACAAAATAAGATTTTATTTTTAATAGAATAAAGATTGAAATTAAATATGGACAAGCAATTAATTAAGAAGATTTATAGTTGATTAATCATTATAAAAAAAATGTGTTAAAATTTAATTCAAAATAAAAAATTAAAATACTTACATATTAATTATTTTTAATTTTTCTTAAATAATAAAAAAAAATGTTTAATATAGAATCTTTATTATCCAATAGTAATACTAATTTTTCCAATTTAAATGAAAACTCCCAATCTTCGTCGAGAATTCAAAGACCAAAAAGAATACACAAATATTGGAATAAAGAAAAATTAGATATATTTACCAAAATGTTATCAATGCCGGAAGAACAACAAATGTTTGATAAATTTTAAATATAATTTTTATGTATTAATTATTTTATCGAAATTATTATAAAAGTTTATAGTGTTATCATATTTTTATCGAAATAAATGGATATACAAAATAGATTACATTTAAGAAATTCTAAAATATTTTCAAATATTAAAAAGACTTTTTACAAAAAATGATTTAGAATTTTAAATGAAATTTAATCAAATATCTTACTTGAGCATTCTCAAAGAAAATAAGAAAAAAATTCATTTTTCATCACAAATTATATATATGTAACACATTTCTTTTTATAATGATTAATCAACTATTAATCTTCTTAATTAATTGCTTGTCCATATTTAATTTCAATCTTTATTCTATTAAAAATAAAATCTTATTTTGTTTACCCCCTTTTATAGTATATTTAAACATGTGTATCGTTTCACTGTAGTGGTAAGAAACTAGATTTGAACCGATTTTTAAAAATGGTCAACTCAATATTTTAACCAGAAAAATATTGCATAAGCCTTATTTCACTAATAGATGTCCAGCCTTCGTGCCATCTATGACCAAAATCTTCAGGGTTGAGTATTATTTTTCTGGATAAAATGTTGGCCCTCATAGGAGAAACTTATTATCAAATAAAATCGAGGCTCAATTATTTTTTATGAACCAAATCCCGATATTCATTTCAGATCTTTATTTTAAGTTTGTTCAATAAATTTAAATTACATGAATGTGTTTCCACTGAAACATATTCTCCATATACAAAAAAATGTAATTTACTGCAAGAGATCAGTAAATTAGCTCTTTGTGTGAATATTCTGGCCTTGGTTGGCACAAAATTCCCAGTGAAATACATCACACCCTACCTTCTACAACTCAACCTAAATAAATAATATTACCGGAAAGCAATCTTAGCTTAGTTGTATGTTATGGTTTAAATTGAAGTATCATTGTAATTTTCATTGTATTCTAATAAATAGCTTAAGCATGGCCATGAGCAATAAAAAAAAATAATTATATTAAGTAGAGGTCTTGATTTAAAGATAATGAGATTGATATTATACAAGATTGTAATGTGATAAAAATAGATATGATAAAAGAAGGATAAATAATGGAAATCATCTGGCAGATATTAATTTTAAGAACCATTGACATAAGCTTAAAGGCCATAAAATTTCATAATCTAATTATCAACAAAAATGAAAGCTTTGCAATTATATTTTATTTAGCCTTGAAATAAATATTTTTAAATAAAATCTATTCTAAACATTAATAAAACTATCTACTCTTCTATTTGGTTTTTTATTCTTTCCATAAGATCAAATACTCTCTTATACAGATCTGGTTAAAATATATGACCAATGCCATTCTTTATTGGCTAAAATTACAGTATATCCAAATTTTTTTTAAAATAAAGATTTTATTTATCATTTCATTATAAAAATATTATCAACAGTTAGGATGTATTTTAAAATTTTTATACTAAATATTAAAACTATGAATCAATATCTTACCAATGTTTCTCCACATATGTCTAGGTAATCTGTCCCATTTTCAACACAAGCCTTGACAACTGGTTCACCATAAAATATATACTTTAAAAAAAATTTATATTAGGAAATTAAATATTATTTATTATAAATATCTTAATATATGTCAAAAAATTACAGGTCCCACACAGTTGATTAAGAGTTTTGTTTTAGCACAGATCTCTTTTAAAGTGATTTCATCTTTAACATCGCCAAGATATAGTGGAATGTTTTGTAAGTCAACACCTATATTTTGCTTGAATGATTTAAATTTTAAGCAATAAAAAATTACCACTATTTTGAGAAGCAGTTTTTAAAGCATCAATTAATTTGGTTTTATTACGCCCAGCAATTGCCCACTTTATTGATTTAGATTTATCTGCTTTAGCTAATTCTTCAATAATGAAAACACCAGAATAACTACTAGCTCCAAATATAATAATATCAAACTCTCTCGTCATCGTATAATAAAATTATGCAAATATGGTTTCAACAGATGATGAGTTTTTAAACTAAAAACAAATATATCCTCAAGTTATACAAATCATTATTTAAAGTTAAACAAAAAGATTTATTTAACACTTTAACAAAAAGGTTATTGGGCAATTATGATACATATTTTATAATTGTCAATATTAAGTATAATGTTTTAAAATCACAGAAGATTAAATATCCTTTCCACTTTCTTAACCAGTTAAGAAACGTGAGGGATTATTATAATAAGTTTTTATTATAAATCAGAAATTCATTATTGTTAAATTATATAAAATTAACAAATTACATTTATGTTGTAATATTAATTATGAATTATATTTTTATTATAAATCAAAAATTTATAAATCAAAAATTTATTCAACCTCTATAACTAAAAAAAAATGTTCTTTTTATATCTTTTTCAAACGATCAACTAAATTGATTTAAAGTTAGAAACAAATATAAATTACAACTATAAAATATAACTTTAATAAAAACCTAAAATAATTTCTCCAAAATGTAAAAAATCGAATTATTTAACACCAGAGATCAATACACAATTGTGTTGAGATAAAATCATATCGACCCCTAATGTTGTAGATAGGTACACAACAGAGGTAGCAAGGTATTAGCCTCTATCATATGGAATATTAAAAGAAATTTGGGGAAATCTACAGAAGGAGCCCTTAAACAAGGTTGTGGGGAAGCCATACGTACTTTGTAGGCATAAAGCTAGAAGACTGGTTTAGACGTTTTGTGGCTGAAGTCAAAAGAATAGGTCCGACAAAATAAACAGAGCCTATGCATTTGAACTGCAGAGTTATTAGATAAATGTTAAGGGGGGGGGGGAGGTGGTTATGATATTTATATAATAAAAAATAGGATATAAATTACAAATATGAATAAATTTTATATATATTAAATATTTAAAACAATTTAATTTAAGTATCGATGTCAATATAAATTAAAAATATATAAATATGAAATAAAAATATTTATATAAACCTTTCATATTTTTGTTTTCTTTGATCTATATTTCTCTAAGTGGTTCACGGCCAACGCATCCGCGTCTCAAACCAGGTGCATCGGCGACTTACGGCCCGCTCATTGATGTCACAAACAGGGTTGCCAGGTCAGAATATTCAAATTGCGGGAGAAATTTGGTATTATGCGGGAGAAATATGAAAATTGCGGTAGAAATATAAAAATTGTTAGAATAGAATTTTGGGCGGTCTTCGGCCGGGATTTTGAATTGACTTAATTATCCGCCCATTATTTTTTATAATTAGTTTATATAAATACAAAGTCGGTAACTATTTTTCAAAATAAAATAACATCTTGATTTATTAAAATATATTAATTTATAAAAAACCAACGATCTTTTTTAAATATAAAAGAATGTCAACAAGATAAAATTTTATAAAAAAACGATTTTAATTTTACAGTTAAAAATATATTTTATGCGAATGTCCCTCAGTGGCGTCGCTGGGGGGGGGGGCGTGCAGGGGCTCGATCCCCTTGAAAAATTTGATTTTTTTTACTGCTCCTTAATATCCCCTTGAACTAAACATAAATTTTTTGATTGCCCTCTGAATGATTTCTTTTATAATTCTATTAAGTAATATATAGATATAATTTTATCATTTAGAAATTAATAAGACTATTTAAATTTTTATTAAATGAATATTATTTTAATTATTAGATTAGATTAATACATATAAATTATCTTTTCACTATGTCAGCTTGCAATCAAATTCTGTGTTAAAAATATAATATTAATATCTAACTAAATATTAATTTAGCTTTAAGAGTTGAAGCTTAATTGACTTTTATTATTTAAATTATTATTTAACCCTAATTAAATAAATATAATCATATATTATTTGAAAATTAACAAATTTAATATTGTAATTAGCTGAGTTCATAATCAACTGTATATTTATTTTGAAATTTTATTATCATACCTTAAAAATATTTTCAAGTCCATAAGTATAAGAGATTTCTTTATAAAAAGTAAGTAGACATATAGTTTATAATCCTCTACTATATACAGTTGTTTATAAAATATCAGATATAATGCCACTTTTATAGACGTAATTGACAGTTACATAAAATATTACAGTTAATATTATAATAAATTTTACTAATAAATGGTTTTTATAATAAATATAATAACAAATTGCATTTAAGTATTTAACGCCATCTATATAGTTATAAATATTATTAAAATTAAACATTTTATTATTCATCCTGCAGTAGATGTAATAAATTTGATATCTTTTCTTCTCTTTTTTTATGTGCTTTTAGGAAAGATAAATTTTTATTACAAGTATATTTTTGATATTATTACAAACTACTGTTATTTAAGATATAATATAGCAAGGTGGTGCGACAATATATAAAATCTTAATTGTTTCATCATATCTATCTGGTCCTTATTATATAGTTATAAAATGTTTCATTTCTAATATGGCATTGCCGTGTAAATAACTCCAGGCTTTAATATATTTGCATAATTATTTCTTCCAAAGATTTTTAGTGTTTTTATTTTATCAATTTATCCAACACAATAAATTCTGTAGCTATTACTGCAAATTAACCAGCATCTATTATTTGTGTTGCTATGTAATTTAAGATTATTACTATAACGGCTGAGAGCATATAATTGCATATTTTAGATAAACAATAATGGTCAACTGAGTAGTGGTTTATATATCATTTAAAATGGAAGATAATCTTTTAAAAATTTAATATCTCACAATAATTTTCTCGATTACTTATATAGCTTCCATAATGTTATCTAAGAGGAAGCTCTAACCACCATATAGTTTTATGATTTGGATTGGTCGTTTATATTATCTCCTACAAAAATTGTTGATTTGGTTTAGGCCTATAAATTTATCCTTATTAGTCCATTCTATAAAACATTGTCTAAAATGTTTACATAGAATTAAACTAGTTTGATAACCTTTTGTCAATATAAGTTGCTAAGAATTATATTATTGCATTATGTGATTTTTTATATGCCAGTTTATTTTGTATGCATAATATAATAAATGACAAAATTTGAAAATCAGAATAATTGTTGAAAGTTAACAAATTTAAAAAAAATATAATATATGCCGAAGGCCCCCAAATTGAGGGTATGGGGGGCTTCGCCCCACATAGAAATTTTTTAGTTGAGCCCCCTGAGAGTGTGAAGGCTAGCAACGCCCCTGACGTCCCGCAAAACGACCGCAATTATAAATCTACCGTGTGTGTATAAATATTATAGGGATAGGCGTTTAATTATCACGTATCACGTTTAAATACACAATAAGGTACTCCAAAAATAAGAAATAATACAGATGCAACTACAGTTGCGGCAATTGTAATCACTTATCTTGTAGTACAACATTCACAGAAATACTTATCATTACAATGTTGCTTGCTTATTTTTGTTCTACAAGTATAGTTTTCATTTATATTAGAGTGGTTAAATATTATGGGAAAAAGATTCTCATCAATGTTTTAGGACCTAAATCTAGGAGGTCAATTCTTGACGATTTGAAAGATGGGCATACATATGAACAGATGCATCCCCTCCGCTATTTCAACAAAATTAAGGTCGTTTCAATAAAACTATTAAATTTTTTCCCCTCCTATAGTGAAAAATCAAAAGACATAGCTATAACCATATAATGGTAAATATAGCAGATTCGAGATTATCAATAAATTGCAAGTCAGCTTTCTGATCTGATAATGCCTTAGTGAATTTGGTAAAAACAGAGTGTATTTACAGAATTGAGTCAGCACAATGTTGGTTGCGATATGTTCCTAATACCCGCCATCAATAGAATTTTATAATTTTATAAACCTCTAAAAAATATTCCTTAAATAAAATTTATAAAAGCTGTCCTAACATTTTGAAAATTTTTTTCAATAATGAATGGCAGAGGTATATTTAGGAATGATTTCACATGTAGGAATTTACTACATGCTGTTAATGTGTAGTTGCAATAGAAGAATCTTAATAAAAATTCACAAAATTATGTTGCAGATGTGTTCATCTTTACAGTTAATAATTGACAATAAATTTTATGGCGCCATTGCAAAAACTTAATTATATTTTATTTGAGATTAAATAATAGAACTAAATGTTTACCATCGAGATATTTATAAAATTCCTGGCATGACATATTATATATTTGTTTAACCATTAGCTCGGCTCTAAGTTTAAGTATTTTGGCGAATCATAAAAAATAGAGAGAATTACAATCTCCTCAAACAAGATATCAATGTCTTTCAGTATTTTTAATATATTTATTCAATTATAAAAACCATCAATTGATGGTTTCTGTTCCAAGGTCATCATATTTATACATTTGTAAATAGAGTTATTAAAATCAAATTTTGATTGTAAATATTCTAAAATTGTCTTAATAAAAATATCTGCTTCCTTTAAAAATGTATTAATTAGAGTATTAGTTGAACATTTTAATATAATATTTTCAGCAATAGCGCCGTAAAATTTATTATCAATTTTTAACTGTAGAGATGAACAGAGCTGTAGCATGATTTTGTGAATCTTTTTTATAAAGAATATTCTGATTGCAACTGAATATTAACTGCACGAAGTAATGTCAAACGAATCCCAAATATGCTTCAAAATTTTTCAATATTTTAGGACAGCTTTTAAAATCTTTATTTAAGAAGTATTTTTTTAAGGGTTTGTAAAATTTTAAAAACTCTTTTAATTCATTAACTTTTTTAGTTGATGACAAAATTCGTTAAAACATTTCATCACAATTATTTCGACATCCACAGATAGTAAATTTATTGCCTTCTTGCAAGAATTATGTAGTATATATGGCTTATTTAGCCAATTGGTGTTAATTCATTATTATGCTGCCTCAATACGGTAACTTTCGTTTTTTCCAAAATTTACAGAGGCATTATCAGCGCAGAAAGCTGACATGCAAATCATTGATAACCCTGAATCAGCTATATCTACCATTATGTGGCT